TTAATCCCAGAACTGGGGAGTCAGAGGCAGGAGGATCTCTGTGAGTTCAAGGTCAGCCTGATCTACAGAGCAAGTTCCAGGACAGCTAAGGCTACACAGAGAAGCCATGCCTTGGGGAGGGAAGAAAGAAAGAAAGAAAGAAAGAAAGAAAGAAAGAAAGAAAGAAAGAAAGAAAGAAAGAAAGAAAGAAGAGGAGGAGGAGGAGGGAGGGAGGGAGGGAGGGAGGGAGGGAGGGAGGGAGGGAGGGAGGGAGGGAGGGAGGGAGGGAGGGAGGGAGGGAAGAAAAAGAAAGATCAGAAGACAATGCTCAAAGTGTTGTGTCAGGGCCCATAAAGATGGCTCTGCTTCATCTTGGCTCAAGCTCAGAGAGTTTAAAACTGTCCTTAGTAAGTCATAAGACAGCCGGGCGTTGGTGGCGCACACCTTTAATCCCAGCACTCGGGAGGTAGAGGCAGGAGGATCTCTGTGAGTTCGAGACCAGCCTGGTCTACAAGAGATAGTTCCAGGACAGGCTCCAAAGCCACAGAGAAACCCTGTCTCGAAAAAACAGAACAAAAAAAAAAAAAAACCCAAAAAAACAAAACAAAAAAAAAAAACAAAAGTAAGTCATAAGACCTAAAGGACATTTGATCTTGGTCTTGGATGTCTTATCTAAATAACAACAGACTTGTTCTGAGGTGTGGTTACTCTTGACCCTCAAGGCCTTGTACATGATAAAGAAGTCTTTTGCCATGTTCCCCTTGTCGGTTGGGGTATTTAAGAACGGTGAAGAATAAACTTGGAGCATCCAGTATTCAATGGATTGCCCTCCTGACTCTATCCCGTGTCTCAGTCTTTTTCTAGGTGTCTTTACCTGCCGTTTCTCAATCCACACTCCCCCTCTCAGGTACGAAACGGGCAAGTTGTCCGGATTCCAACTGAAGCCCCACAACAGTGTTGCTGAACATTACTTGTCAGAGAAATTAGGGTGTGGCTCATGGGTAATGGTTTCATCTCAGAGTCCAAGAACAGAGAGGAGATTCAGAAATATCTGGGGGCAAAGACTCTTGCTGGCAGGCATGCATGAGTTGCTCGGGACAGACAGGTTTTCCGAGGCTGTCACAACAGGAGACACATGGCTAGCTTGGACTAGGAGGCATAGATGGGAGAAGTGAAAGAGCCGGAACTTGGAGGGCTGCCGGGGCAAGCTGGAGAAAGCAGGCTGCTGGCGGCTCCCAAGGCCCCACGGCAGGGCCCCTACTGTGGGCTCTGGGGACAGAGCATCAAGCTATGGAGGACTGGTCTAAGACCATAACTCCTAATGCAATTTGTTGCTGGGGCTCAGATTTGTCTTGGACCAAATCACTCTCCAATCATTATCCTTTCTACGACTGTAACAAAATACCCAAGGTAACTACTTAGGAGGAATAAAAGTTTATTTTGGCTCATCATTTTGGAGGATCTGGGATGAACTGTGTTGTTCAGGGCAGACCTTCCCCAATGCTTCGGGCCTCAGTAGAGTGGGAGATCTTGGGAGATCTTCAAGTAACTTCCAGGGTTAGAGTCATTCTTTTTTTTTTAAGTTTATTTATCTTTATGTGCATTGGTGTTTTGCCTGCATGAATGTCCCTATGAAGATGTCAGGTCCTCTAGAACTGGAATTACAGACAGTTGTGAGCTGCCATGTGGGTGCTGAGAATTGAACCCAGGTCCTCTGGAAGAACAACCAGTGCTCTTAACCTCTGAGCCATTTCTCCAGCCCAAGTCTGAGTCATTCTTATGTCCCCATATGGATGAGCCCTGGCCAGTCTTAGAGAATATTGAGACATTCTCCCAAATCCCTGTCCTGGAGGAGTCAAGAATCACTGGCCCCTAGAAGCTGAGGAACTTATAGGGCTCTCCCCTCACTAAGAAACTTCGTCCTCTATGGTATGGCCATTATTTATATGCCTATGCTCCTGTAAGCAAACCCTAATGAGACTCACTGGATCACAAAAAAGAATACCTTCACTAGGATGCTTGGCATGTCACAAACTGTCACTCCTTTTCACTGAGATATGGAGAAAAAGATAGGAGCCCTCAAAGAGGCCGAGACTTACCCAGGGCCCCCAGAGGCCAGGCCCAGCAGAGACAAGAAGAGTCAGAATTGAGGCACAGGAACCCCACAATTGCTAAGACTAGGCAGCTACTGGTCTAGCATGTGTGAGGGCATCATGGGAGAGGGGAGGAGAGGGGCAGGGCTGTCACACTTGGAGGCCAGCCCCAGAGGCCTGCCCTTCTCCACTGTGTGGGGCTAGGTTATCAAAGCAGCTTAACTGGCCCTGAGTATTAAGCCTCTGGTCACCGTTGGGCTACCAGGTCACCTTCTTACCTCCCAGCTTATCTGGGAGCAGCCTCCCTCCCACTAATGAAAACACAAGGCTGCCTCTGGAAAGCTATGCTTAGAAGAGAACTCTTCAGATCATCATAATGAGGCTAATCCCAATAGCTAAGTGACCTTGGGCTAGATGGATCCTTCTCTGAAACTTGGTTTCCCCATCTGTAGAATGAGGGTCATCTCATACCTTTCCTGCCTTCGTCTGCCTCTCCCTCCCTCCCTCCCTCCCTCCCTCCCTCCTTCCCTCCCTTCCTTCCTTCCCTGTTTCTTTTGCTTCTGGCTTTAGTTTTCATTCTGGTTTTTGAAACAAGGTCTCACGTATAGGCTGGCTTAGAACTCCTTATCCTTTGTCTCTGCCTCCCAAGTTCTGGGTAACAAGTATGGGCCACCATGATCATCAACTAGCCCATGTCTTTTCTGACAACCACAAAGCACAATGGCCTTGGGTATGTTTGAGATTGTTTACGTGTATGAAACTATAATCTGGAACTATAATCTGGAACTGGAGTGTTGGTTCAGCAATTAAGAGTACTTGTCGCTCTGTTCCAGAGGACCCAAGTCTAGTCTGTAAGTTCCTCAGCTTCTAGGGGCCAGTGATTCTTGACTCCTCCAGGACAGGGATTTGGGAGAATGTCTCAATATTCTCTAAGACTGGCCAGGGCTCATCAGGCAGCTCGCAACTGCCTGTAACTCCAGCTTCCAGGGCTCTGGTGCTGTCTCCTGGCATCTCTTCCACATTTTTATTCCCTCCTCAAATATCTGTTTCCTGTTTTGTTATTTTATTTAGCATGTGTATACGTGCATGCATGAGTGTGTGTGAAAGCAGAGGGTAACTCTGTGGAGTTGGTATTCTCCTTCCACCTTTAGTAGTTTCTGGGGGCCAAACTCAGATTACCAGGCCCGCACACAAAGTACTTTTACCCGCTGAGCCATCTTGCTGGTCCTATTTCCTGTTTTCTGATAAGAGAATATGCTCATTCATTGCACCAAATTCAGGAAATACAGGGAAGAGTAAAAAGGCCAGAAGAAAGAATGCCTGAAACCTCACTGCCCTAAAGTAGCCAGGTATGATGGAGGAGGAGCCAGCTCCCAATAGGCAGTGTTCCCCTTCTACCCTTTGTGTTCTCAGCTCCTGAACTGGCCTGCTGGCCTGGTAGGTAGCAGGGGTTCAGCAGTCACACACACACTCACACATCTTCAAGGTGTCTCCGAGCCATCATTTCTGAACCTGGGGGTGGTGCTAGTTGTTGACAAGCTGACTCAACTGCCAGGTAGGACTGCGAAGTGGTCATAAACCAGACATCAGCAGCACCCCACTCATATCCTTCCCCTAACCTGACATCAGGAAGCTAACCCCAGTGGTTCCCATGGAGGGCTCCAAAGGAACTGGCAGAAACATTTAAAAAGGAAAGTCTGGTTTTCCTTAACAGCTAGCTAGTTGGAGGTACAAATTCGGGTTACTTAAAAATCCCTTTTATTCTTAAAAGGCAAAACATCTTTAAAAAGAGCAGAAGCCCCCAAGTCCTTCACATATATTTGAATCTTATTAGCCTTGACAATGGAACTTTACAGGCTTGGTCCATTATGAAAGGTTTTGAGGATGAAATTCCCACTTTTTTTTTTTTCGAGACCAGGCTGGCCTGGAACTCACAGAGATCCACCTGCCTCTGCCTCCCGAGGGCTGGGATTAAGGGCTGGGATGCAGGCCAGCTGCTCATATACATAAAGTAAAATAAATCTGGCCCTGCCCAGACCCCATCCATCTCCACCTTCCCCCCTCCTGTGGGATGAGATAAAAGATTCTGTTGTTCTGTGTGGAGCTCTATCTGTAGCGATTTGTTTTGCAAGCCTAGGAAACATCCCCTAGTCTGTGGGCCAGCACTGCTGAACACCTCAAGGCCTGAGCGACACAGGGTGGTAGGTGCCATTTCACAGCTTCCACCCGCAAACGAGGGGCACTTTAGATCTCCCTGAGTCCCATCCATGATCCTACAGGCCCTCCACTGGCAGAGAGGGGCCACACAGGGCAGTGGGATCTCTGGCTATGTGGCAGGGAACTGTGTCTCAGAGTGTGCTCCACCAGAAGGGGAAGGGGGGTGGGTATCACAGTGGGGTCTGTGCATGGACCCGCCTTTTCGCGATGTGGCAGAATGGACATAAGCTTGATTTCGACTTACGGAATTTGAAGAAAGTCATCACGGGTGACCCACAAGTGAAAAGGGGATATTAGTGGGTATAATCAACCCTGATTCTGGAGGAGAATGAGGAGGCATCTCTCACCGCTCAGAAAGCAGAGGCTGGAGAGCCAGCCTGGCTGGAACTCGGTTCTGTTATCTATCGGGGCATACACAGAGAAACCCTGTCTGGGGGGGAGTCACCTGCCTGCCTTCCAGAGAAGGGTCGGGAGAGGAAAGGTACGCAGACAGACTACGAGAGGGACGTTAGCTCAAGGGATCCCTTCTGAACGATCAACCTGGGGCTCCTCAAAAATCCGCTTCACCAGGTGTCCAGTCCCCCCTTCAGTCAACCCCGCCCTACCCCAAGGCGTAGGCGGGATCTGACTAAAGTTCAACCCTGGCGTCTTGGAGGCGTGCCCTGGGTGTGGCTAGAGACAATCCCGCCTCCTAAGGACCCGCCCCTCCGTTAGGCCCCGCCTCCGCCCGGACAGGTTTCTCTGACCGCTGCAGAAGGCTAAGGATGCGCCGGGTGTCTGCGACCCTCCGCGGCAGGGCGAGGCCCCTGGGGCGGGCCGGGACCACGACCACAACGCCGGTACCAGGGAACCAGACAGGTGAGGGCTGGGGCTGCGGGTCTCAGCGCCCTTTTCATAGACCGAGAAGCGGAGGGGCGAGGGGCTGCCGTGCTGGGGACGGTGTCCAGGAAGGGGGCGTTCGTCGCTCCGCCGAGGCCTCCTCGAGAAAGAACTTTCCCGACTTCCCACGGATCCAATGGGCGACCCCAACTGAGCCGAAACCGGGCTGCGAGCTACTTGAAACCAGGTGGCGGGCATCTCTTAGCGTTTGCACGAGTTTGGCGATAGTCGCCCCGCCGCCGTCCCGGCCGCCTACGGAAGTCGAAACCCACTTCACCTGTCGGGGTGCGCGGCCCGGGGGCGGAGGGAGCTGCCGGGGTGACCGCTGGGTGGGAGAGAGGTGTTATCTTTGGAGTTCTTTGGTGGCTACTCCAGCCTCACTTTATAAAACGGGAAAGTGAGTCTGGGAGAGCAGAGAGGCTGAGGTCACCCAGTAGCAGGGACCCGGCTTGTGCCTAGACTGTCAAAGATCAGAAGTTTCTGGAAGGAGGGAGAGTGACTTTAAGTTTGTCATTTCTAAAATTGCTGAAGAGGGATCTATGGTCAGCTTTGGTAATTCTTAGAAACAACCAAAACGGAACCCCCGCATTTCTCCCAAGAGCTCAGTCCTGTGCAGCCTGGAAGTATCTGAGGAGGACTTGACCCCATTGCACTGAAGGTAGCATTGCCCTCACCACCGTAGTTCAGTGGTTCTCAACCTTTTTAATGCCGCGACCCTTTAATAGTTAGTTCCTCATGTTGAGGCAACTTCACAACCATGAAATTGTTGCTACCTCATAACTGTAATTTTGCTACTGTTAAGAATCATAATGTAAGCCCGGCGGTGGTGGCCCACGCCTTTAATCCCAGCACTCTGGATGCAGAGGTAGGCGGATCTCTTGTGAGTTCGAGACCAGCCTGAGAAACTCTGTCTCAAAAAACAAAAAAAGAAAAACTATCTGTGTTTTCTGATAGTCTTAGGCCAACCCTGTGAAAAGGTCGTTGGTTGAGAATTTTACCTAGTGGGTTTGATTTGTTTGAAACCATCCCACCTGTGCCCGGGGCCATTGTTGGTCCCACAGGTGCGCTTAGTTTTAGCTTCCTAATTGTTGCTCCACAGGAGTGCCTTTGTGTTTGGGGAGTCCAACCTTGGGCCTGGTAATGCTGGAGAAAGGGGGTAGTCTGTGAGCACCTTCTGCACAACAGCCTGGAGGAATAGGTGTCACCAGCTAGAAGGGGTGGCTGGCCTTGCCCAGGGTTAGCTCAAGGCCCTGGGTGGCTTGGGACCCCGCTGAGTTTGCATACAAAAGGCTATTTGGTTGAGAGTCCAGTGTCTTAGTTGTCTCTTGCCCTGCCTGGCTTCAGGAAAGATTAGTGTCCTTGCAGTGGGTCCTTTGGGCCCAGCTTCCAAGCCAGTCCCTTGTTGAAGTTTTGGTTGTAGTTGTCTCAAACCTGAGATGAGTCCTTTTCCTGTGCCTCTGTTCCCTTATGAGATATAAGGTTAGTGGTGTATTCCTGCCTCCAGGCTGTGGGCAGAACTAGCAGAGTACAAAGAGAGGCCTTGTCCTTGAATAATGTAGTACGTGGGACTTCCCGCCTGTCCTGTTTGTTTTATACTCTGGGAAGGCAAAAGAAGGGGCCTGAAGCCACAAGGAGACAGTTTGGTGTTAACAAAAAGAAAAGAAACAATAATTGGGATGTAAAGTAATTAGGATGTATGGCTCCTACAGTCTGTAGCATGGGCGCATTGCTGAGTAGGCCAGAGGCATTCTGGAGGTCTGTGGTCTCTGTGGGTAGAAAAGGCTGGCTCAGGGCAGGACTAAGAGTGTTGCCATTGTCCCCACCCCCTTCAGCCAGGGTCTCCTATCTGGATTGGATGGGCAGTTTTGGCTCTGCTCCCAGGGCTACTCCTGAACTCTAGTCCGGGAGGTTTTCCAGGAACACAGGGTTCCAGTGGCTGGAAGCCACCTCCTGGTAACTCCAGGAGGGACCTTGAAAAGTGCAAAAAGCAGCTGGATGGGTAGGTGCAGGTGTGCCATTCGAGTGTGCCCTTGCTTCATCCTTGAAGCCTGCTGTGCCCATGTTATATAGGGTAAACTGAGGCCCAGTGATGACCAGTGTGAATCAGTGTGAGGTTCCCCTCCCCTGGTCACATACTCCCCCAGAAGATCCAGGGTTACACTTTCCTTGGTTAGAATCGTCTCTGCCCTGCCGTGGAAGAGAGCACATAACCAGCGATGTGGAGGCCAGCCTGGTTGGCCCACGGTTTCAGGGGCATGGGAAGATAGGCTCAGAGGGGACAGATGGCTGTCCAGGGGAATCACAGCCCGTGTTACCGCCACATGTTGTCCTGGCTGCTGGTGTCTCAGGGGCCCTGCTGTCAGAGCGCTTGTGGATGCATAAGTCAGTCATCTCTAAGAACTTTGACCCCCCACCACCACCACCATGATTCCCACTTGGCATTTGGAGAGATGCAGACCCAGAGCATAATTACACAAGGATTCACTGGCAGGTAGGGGCACAAACCTAGCTACCAAGTTCTGGTGAGGCCGTGCCCAGAGGCCTGCCACACAGCCTCTGCCAACATAAAGGGGAACTTATTAAGGTCAGGGTGAGGGGGCCATGGGCCTCAGGAAGGACAGAAGATGCTCCCCCCCCCTTCCCCTTGCCTGTGGTCCAAGGTTCCAGATAAAAGATTAACAAACAAGGTCTTCCCAGGCATCCAGCTGGCCTCAAGGACTGGGGGAGGAGGAGAGAGGCCCCTCCCAGATCCAGTCATGCGCACCTCAGGGTAGAAGGACTTGAGATGGCAGCCGCTGCAAGTGGACTGGGTTGAGGTGTCAGTGGGACAGGCTAGAGACCCTCACGGGCTGGGAGGGTCGCCTTGCTGTGCACATCTGTCCTTGGCTCTATCCTGAGCCTAGAGGACCAGGCTCGGTCATGGTGTGTTTTTCCTGTTAACATTAATCCCATTTGCTTCTTTTTTTTTTTTTTCTGTTGCTTTTTACTCTCTTGATGGTTTTCACATGGAACAAAAAAGTGGCCCCCAGGGTTACTGAAGTGAAACTGTACCAGAACTATGGCTGGAGGAGGGAGGGTCTGGACACAGTGAAGCCATGCTGTGTCCATTGTCCAGAGTCAGGGCTCAGAGAGGGCTGAAAGTCACCTGTTGTCACTTAGCTGGCTGCTTTCCTGGGAACACGGGTGCCTTCAAGTTGTATTAGGAAGTCGTGTGCCTGCTGGGCCTGGGTTCAATGAAACGTTTTGAACTGTGGAGGAGCAGAGGGGTGTGATTTTTAGACCCCAAGCATGGGAGTCTGTGGAGTTGTTGATGAGGAGTAACTGGGGGTCTGTAGGTTGAGTTGGGAGTCTCTCTGTAAGTACCCTTTAGTTTTTTCTTCTTCTTCAATAAAAGGTCCCTATGTAGCCTTGTCTGTCCTGGAATTTGCTCTGTAGATCAGGCTGGCCTCTCTGCCTCCACCTCCCAAGTGCTTGATCTAAAGGCTTGCAGCACCATACCTGGCTCTTGACAATACTTGAAGCATCCCTTGAAGAGGTAGGTCTGCTTGTGTCACTCAGGCTGGCCTTAAGTTCGCTGCCCTGCTTGAGTCTCCTGGGTACCTGTGCCACTGCACCCAGAGAGTCCCAGGCCTCATAGACTTCGACAGCATACTCTACCTGCCCAGTGCTGTCTGCGTTCATTTAAAGGCCACCTGAGGCTGAGGAAATCCAGGTGCCCACCCTGGTGTTTGCTTTGAGCAGATCCGTGGGCCTCAGCCTCCTCATCTAGGAGATGAGTTCACCCCAGAGTACAATCTAGTGGTCTTGCAGACCCAGGGATGGGTGAAAGAGACCCCTGTCAGGGGATGGAGGTCCCTTGTGCTGTGGACTTGGGAGAATGGAGACTGCTTGTGTGCGTGCATGCATGTGTTTTAGTTTCCACCGTGGTCTGGAGAGCTTGAGACGTGGCTTAAAATCCTACATGAGGGGTGTAGTTGGTGGAGTACTTGCCTAGCGTGAATGAAGCCCCGGATTCCAACCATGGCATGGTATAGATCCAATATGGTGACACACACCTATAATCCTCTCATTAGGGAGGTGGAGACAGAGGATTAGGAGTTAATTCCATACATGATAAATTCATGACATGAGACACTGACTCACGTTCCACCGAGGCAAATGCTGTTAACCAGCCCTGCCTCAGTGTCTCTACCACATAGCCCCTCCCCCTGTGACCCAGTAGGACAGAATGCCCACTTTGCAGATGGGGAAGTCTGAGGCCAGTGTGGAATGTGGGCTGGAACTCACTGCTGGATCAGATCCAGGAGTCCATGTGTCTTTCCTTGCCCTAGGATGGGGGGAAAGTCTGGGGGCTTATGTTGGGGAGACATTCCCAGTCAGGGCCATTTTCTCTGCTTCCTTCAGCTCTGTTTAAAGGAAGTTGCCCCCTCCCTTGGCCGGAAGTCTGCTTGAATAACACAAGGAGGAAGGGCTTATCCCCACTGTCCACCTCTGACCTTTGCCCAAACTCTTCTATTTAACTTTTAAAATGGAAAAAAACAATAATTAGGAGGCTGGGCTCTACACCCTGTGAGTTCCCTAGAGGGCTGGCTAGAAATGCCTTCTTTGGGACCAGGACTGCCCTCGAAGCCCCTCCATCCCTAAGCCTGCCCCAGGCCGCTCTCTCTCCCCACACCGCCTTCTTCATACCTTCTGCTGTGGGGCTGCCCTCCCTCTTGTTGGGCTCGCACTAGAAGTGTTTCTCTGCTTTTCTTTAGCTCTTTAGTTTGATGGGAGCCCCGTGGGCTTCTGACAGCCGGTGTGGCAGGGCTAACTTGTCCTCTTTTCTTGGTTGGGGTTGGTGACTTCACCCTTCATCTCCCACAGTTATGAGGCTCAGTGACAGGGCAGGAAATCTGCACTTTAAGATTCATGACTGCCTGGCTGTGAGGTATACCAAGGTCTACAGTCACTAGCTGAGGGCAGGCACCCCGTCCCAGCAGAGCCCTCCCCAGAGCACCGGATGTGGCTGTTGACAGACATAGTGCGAACCAAGTGGGGATACTGCCGTGCCCCACCCGCTCTGCAACTAAGACATATTTAGGGGAAGTGGACCACGGGTGGTTTCCTTGCGGGGCCACAGACTTTTCTTCATCCAGTCCTCTCACATCGCTGCCTGGTGTCCATTTGCACAAGCCCAGGGAAAGAGGTTCTCAGATGATAAAGGCAATGCTGAACTCGGTCCCCTGGCTTTACAGCCTCGGGTACATAGAAGGCTGAAGCCCGTCGTGGCCATCCTATATGACGGCTACTTCTGCTTCTCGCCACCCTGGCAGCTAGGACCCTTTGGGATGAAGCTCTAGTTCAGTAAAGCACTGTGCTGGTGGGGCTGCTGTAGGTGCCGCCCCCCCACCCCCATCCCCTCTCTGTCTGGCTGTGACCAGGCTGGTGGCAGGTGGTCAGGGTGGGCCCCCACTCTGTCAGCTCAGCTGCAGAAGAATGCAGAAGTTGTGACTCTAAATTGAGGACTGGGAAGTGTGGCTGCCTGGCATCCTGGTGAAGGGCCCTGGGGCTGGCCAGTGTCTGCCCAGCCTTGTCTACTACAGCTACAAATATCATGTCCACTCCCCTGGCCAGCGGGATAGTGTGTTTCCACATTGCAGGATTCTGAGAAGACACGATAAGTCTGTGAAGTCAGCTTCCTTCAGTCTTATCCAGGACAGCCGGGGATACACAGAGAAGCCCTGTCTTGAAACCCCCACCCCCAAAATCAAATTATGGCTGTACCTGTGACAGCTAGTGGCCTAAAGTCAGTGAGAGGTAGCTCAGGGTACTGGTCTTCATGGTTTCATGACAAGCATTTTACCAAATGAGCCAGCTTCTCACTGGCCTTTCTGTGTCCCTGTTTAAGGACAATGCTGTGCCTGCTTCAGGGCCTTTTGCTGTAATTGGCAGCTGTGCATCAGCATATTTGTTCATACCTGCATGGGTGAACCTATGCTGCTTGCTACAGATGTAGGTGCTCTCCAGAGTCTGCTGTCCTGCCAGGCTGGTAGGCAGACAGTCTGCCCACAGAATGGAGGCAGCCCTCACCCTCACCAGACTCCTCCCTTTTCTACCCCAGGGGATACTGGTTTCCATCATCTTTATTAAGTTGTATGGTGCTGGGAGGGAACCCAGAGCCTTGATGTTAGGCAAGTGTCATACCAGAGTGACACCCTCATCTCCTTTTTTCCTTTTAATCTCAGCCACCCTGGGGCTGGAGGGGTGACGCCATGGTTAACAGCACTTGCAACTGGGCCTGGTGGTTCACATGTTTTTGTTTTGCTTTGTTTTAAAATTTATTATGTATATAGTGTTCTACCTACATGTTTGCCTGCACACCAGAAGAGGGCACCATATCTCATAGTTGGTTGTAAGCCACCATGTGGTTGCTGGGAGTAGAACTCAGGACCTCTGGAAGAGCAGCCAGTGCTCTTCACCTCTGAGCCATTTCTCCAGCCCGCTCACACGGTTTTTTGTTTTTGATTTTTGAGGCAAGGTTTCTCTGTGTAGCTTTAGAGCCTGTCCTGGAACTCACTCTGTAGACCAGTCTGGCCTTGAACTCACAGAGATCCACCTGCCTCTGCCTTACAAGTGCTGGGATCAAAGGTGTGTGCCACCAATGCCTGACGTCAAAACTTTTTAAAACTAAAATCTTAGCCACCTTGCTGAGGGAATGATCAGCTGCCATTCAAGTTCCTTGGCTTGCTGTGCGGTAAGCATGTTTTGTGGCTGCTAGTCATTGTACCTCTTGCATTCCTTGCTTACACGTTAGCCCAATTTTAAAAGAAAATTCTATGTTCGACTCTCATAGGTAAGATCGCTTTAGAGTTTTTACTTTCTAAATATCTTTCCTAATTTTGTTTATCTGAGTTAATGTTTATCTTTCCATGATTTGGAGGTAACAAACATCATTTTTCATGTCTGTCTCTCCTCCCCTCCTGCCTTTGGTTTTGTTTTGTTTTGTTTTTTTGCCTGGGAGCGGTTTGTTTTTCGAGATAGGGTTTCTTTGTGTGACAGCTCTGGCTGTCCTGGAACTCACTCTGTAGACCAGGCTGGCCTGGAATTCACAGAGATCTGCCTGCCTCCCAAGTGCTGGGATTAAAGGCGTGCGCCACCACTGACCGCTCCTGCCTTTGGAACAGCATTTATCTAACCACTGTGCATTGTCATTGTCTTGTCACAGTCCTCAGACCTATAGATTGTGTTTAAGGTCAGTCCAGCTCTGGAGGGCCTCCTGAGGAGCTGTGGCATGTCTCTCGCTTCCTGCTGACCGCACCCCAGCCTCACAGCCACCTCTTTACAGGCACCTGTGCCCAGCTCCACCCGCCCCCTCGAGGCACCTTGCAAGTTGTCCGTGGCAATGGCACTTCACTGGGGACGGTGCTCGTGTTCCACTGCCCCTCTGGACACCAGATGGTGGGGTCTGGCCTCCTCACTTGCACCTGGAATGGGAGTATTGCTGACTGGTCTTCAGAAAGCCCTGTATGCAAAGGTAAGCAGCACCCCGCCCCAGATGCCCCAGACCCCAGCTCAGCCGCTGGTGGGGTGGCGAGATGGGGATCCCAAATGCTGTCATATTCACATTGAAGGTCGTTGGTGTCCCATCATAGGCTACTCCACATTGAAGGTTCTCTTCCCACTCTTGCCTGCTTCCACGACTGAGTACAGATACCAGACTCAGGGCTGGCTTCAATCCTGCTGCTGCCCTGGCCCCTGACTGGTCACTAATGGCGTGCTCACTGTCATCTGCAAAGTGGGGAAACAAACCCTAGCCATTTCCTTACCCACTTTCCCTTCCTTCATGAATGCCTCAGGCAAACCCTGAAGGGTGTTCTAGACGCCAAGAATTCTAGGAATTGGGAGTGCAGAGGGCTGTGATTGTGCCAGCCCTGGATGGCCTGTCTCAGGAAGGAGGATGCAGTTGCCAGTTGCCTAGTTGTATGTGCAGCACAAGCAGAACCTGTCTTGACTATCAAATGTCCCACGTGACCTTTTCCTAAGTGAAGGCTGGTATGTTTTGTTGGTACACAGAGCCTAATTAGTTTGGTGCTTGTTTGTGAATATGCATATTACAGAACTTTTCAGAGCCTTTAAGGCCCTGGTATTGGCTCAGTCTCTTGAGATGAGGGTGCCTGGCAGGACTAGGTTCCGAGAGACTGAAAGCCCAAAATGGCAGGGCTAACCTGTCAGCATCATAACCCAGGTGGTGGCAAGGTGTCCCAGGAGTGAACTCTATGGGGTTAGGCCCCTAGGGCAAAGGATATGCACCCTCGTGTCTTGTGGATGATGCTTAGCTGGTGTCCCACGTCACGGCTCTTTACCCACCATTGTTCAGGCCTGGCCTGTGTGTGAGAGCTGGAGTCTAAACTCTCAATGGTCAGCATCCAGCCAGGGCGCTAAGAATGGGATAGGGACCTGGGCTACGCCTGCCGTGGGTATAATGCATCTACAATTTGTACAATTTTTTGTTTATTCAAATTATGAACTTGGGCCTTTTTCAAAGACTATTCCTGAGAATCTAATGGAACGTGTACTCGGTGACAGCTGAGGTCGCACAGCTGGCCCTGCACAAGGGTAGCCGTGTCCATTGTCTTTGCCCCTTTCGGGAAGATGAGCTGAGAAGGCCCCTGAAGAATCGCATTGGGCGTTGTAAAAACTGCTCTGCTGGTGCCTTCTGTAGTCAAGACTGCAGTGGGTAGGGCCCAGGGGCCTCCATGCTGTACTCCTTGTTAGGACTTACCCAGTTTACTCTTCTGCGAAGTCCTGTGCACCCTGCCAAACCCACCTCAAGCGCCACTTCTTGAGTGTGTCTTCCCCCATAACCCCCTTAAATCTATTCTTTGCGTTGGCCACTGGAGCCTTGAATGCCTTCCCCCCAAATGGAGCTCACTGTGGGCCCCACCCTAGCGGCCCTGAGCTGGCAGTCAGGTCAACTGTGCCAGGAGCTGCTGTTTTCTCCCTCTAGCTGTGCCGCCGCACGAGACCTTCGGCTTCAGGGTGGCAGTGATCGCCTCCATTGTGAGCTGTGCCATCATCCTGCTCATGTCCATGGCCTTCCTCACCTGCTGCCTCCTCAAGTGCGTGAAGAAGAGTGAGCAGCGACGGGCCGACAGGTACAGTGGCAGCTGTCCTTCCAGGAGGTGGGCCTGGCTGTGCGTGTGTGTGTGTGTGTGTGTGTGTGTGTGTGTGTGTGTGTGTGTGTGTGTGTGTGTGTGTGTGTCTACACTCGAGTGTGTGGCCTTCCTGTCTATGTCTGTGTGCGTGTGCAGTTGGCCATGTATGAACATGGGTGCATGCATGTGGAAGTCACAGGACAAACTTGGGTGTCTGTCAGGGAATCTCTTTTTTTTCAGCCTCTTGTCTCCTTGGGAATATTGGGATTACAGACACTTGTATTGTGCTCAGCTTTTTTTTTTTTTTTTTTTTTTTTTTTTTGGTTTTTCGAGACAGGGTTTCTTTCTCTGTATTGTTTTGGAGGCTGTCCTGGAACTTGCTCTGTAGACCAGGCTGGCCTCGAACTCACAGAGATCCACCTGCCTCTGCCTCCAGAGTGCTGGGATTAAAGGCATGCGCCACCAACGCCCAGCTTCGTGCTCAGCTTTTTACATGAGTTTCCATTGAGCCATTTCCCTGTGCACATACAGGGGACACTTAGTGAACCTGCACACACATATGATAATCTGTTGTGTTGGTGGCATTTTGGGTCGCCGCAGTTAGATGCCCCGACAGGTGTGCCCCACCACGCCTGGCAGCAATTGACTCCTTGCTCGTTGTTTCAATGTGTTTAAACATAATGCACATAAATTCACATGTTACTGTTGAGGGTGCTATTGGGGGGAAGTATGAAGGCTCTACTGTCAAATCTGATGATCTGAGTTCTAATCCTGGAGCCCATACAGGGGAAGGAGAGAAATGACCCACAAGTTGTCCTCTGACCCCCACATATGACCTGTGGTACATGTGTCCTTCACCACAAAATAAAAACGTAACTTAAAAAATGAAGATCCTATATGTATGTGCTGTTCACCACTGCAACAATAAATTAATGAATAAACAAACCAATTTTTTGGAAGCAGTGCTGTTTGTTCTGTGACTAACAGCATGGGATGTTCAGCAGTCAACACTGCCTCATGCTAGAAATTTTCACCTCTTGTCTGATAAGTTGCTTTTCATTGGAGCCTGCATGCTTTTCCCGTCCCTGGCTGCTGGATGGATCGGCACAGGTGTCCGGTTCCCATGCCTGAAGTGTTCTGCTGCTGTTCACTGGGCCACTGCCACCCAGAGCCAAGATGAACTGTGTAAAGATGTTTCTGCATGTGCACAGCTTGGGGACGAGGGGCCCCGCCAGGCGCTTCATCCTGAACTTTCTCCTCCAGGACAGCACAGCTTTGGTACCAGCTGAGAGGCGAGGACCTGGAGACGGTACAAGCTGCCTACCTGGGCCTCAAGGGACACAACCACAATAACAGCAGCAGCATCGGTGGTGGCGGTGGTGGCGGCAAGCCGGGGATTCGGCACAGCCAGGCCCATGACAACCACAGCTTTACCACGTGAGTTACCCGGGTCACGGGCTGGGGGTGTGCTAGGGGTGTCCTTTTCCCAGCCCAGCCCTGACAGGTCCTGGATCACTTGCCACCCTACGTCCTGGGGACTCAGGTGCGCCTACCTCTCTGGTGCCTCAGCTCCCAACCCCAAAGCTGTTCCGGCAGTGCTGTGTCCTGACTGGCATCCTAGGCCTCCCACTTGCTCTATCTAATGTGATCACCTTAAGTAAAAGCTCAATGGGCTGAGGTAGCTGGCCAGACCCTCTGCCCTCCCTCTGCTGTCTGCTCTACCAGAGACCAGAGTTACTCGAGTGTCTCCCTCTCGGGTCTTCACATTCCCTCACGCTCTTTCTCCTAGGGCCAGGTAGGCAGCAGCTATGGCTCTTTCTCTCCATATTTTTATATTTATATTTTTTACTGAACTAGTTAAGCACAGTCCCTCCCTCCTCCTTTCCTCCTTCCCTCCTCCTTTCCTCCCTCCCTCCTCCTTCCCTCCTTCCCTCCCTCAGTCCCTCCCTCCCCCCCCATAAGATCTCACGTAGCCTAAGCTTGTTATGTATAGCCAAGGATGACCCTGAACTCCCAGTCTGCCCACCTTCACCTTCCATGTGCTGGAATTACAAACAGGCACCACCATACTTGCTCTGTGCAATGCTAGAGATTGAACTCAGGGCTATGTGAATGCTGAGTAAGCACTCTTACGAACTGAGCCATATCCTCAGCCCCGAGACATGCCTTTTCTGACTCTAGAATCTGGCTTCCTTGATGATAGGTAGAGTAGAAAACACCCCTAGGGTTGCAGTTGGCATTGGTGTGTCTGCCTTTGCACTCACACCTGGGTTCTGCACTCCTGAAGTTCAGGCTGGAGGTCTCATGGATGCCCTGTCCTAATTAGGACTTCTCATTATGTGGTGAAACATGATCAGAAAGCAGTCTGGGGAGGAAAGTGGTTATTTGGCTTATACTTTCACATCATAGTCCATCACTGAAGGAAGTCAGGACAGAAACTCAACCAGGGCAGGAGCTAATGCACAGGCCATGGAGGGGAGCTGCTTACTGGCTTGCTCACTCTGGTTTGCTCAGCCTGCTTTCTTACAGAACCCAGCCCAGGGATGGCACCACCCATGATGGGCTGGACCCTTCCCCACCAATCACTAATTAAGACAATGCCTTATAGCCAGATCTTATGGAAGAATTTTCTCAGGCTCCCTCTATTAAGAGAAGCTTTTTCCTTGAGAGAAGCCTTCCCGCCAGCCTGGTTCTAGAGCCTCATGAGTCCCAAATAAACACACAGGAAGCTATATTAATTATGAAGCTGTTGGCCTTGCTTGTTTCTTACTGGCTAGCTCTGACTTAAGTAATTACCCCATAATTGTTAACTTAAGTATGTCTCTTACCGGAGAAGTTTCTGGGCTTCCTACCCCATGGTGTTACATCTCGACTCTCTGTGTTTCTTCTTCCCAGAGTTCTTCTGGACTCCTAGTCCCACCTATCTAGATTCCTATTGGCCCAACAGTGCTTTATTGACATAAGACTTCCCCAACATCTCCTCTTTTCTGTCTAAACAAAAAGAAAGGTCTTAACTTTAACATAGTCAAATTATATATAACAGAACAGTTATCAAGTAAGAACACAGTTACAATATTTTAGCAAGATTTAAAGAAAATATCATCCATCCATCCTTGTGAGTCCAAAGTTCTATAGTAGCTTATCTTTTATCATAACTAAGGAAAACTATAACTATAACTATCTGTCTTCAACTCCATCAAAGACCACAGAAGGATAATATATAAACACTAGGATTGACAGAGACATCTTACTGCCTGGACAGTTGCCCGAAGTTCCTCTGTAATGTTGGGGCATCCATCTTCAGCCCATAGGCCACAATGTGTCTGGAAGATTTCTCAGGAAAGCAGGAAATTTCAAACTGTCCATCTGCATTGGCAGTCTGTCAGTCATTTCTCTGTGTCCTGTAGAAAGTCTTGTAGACTCTTCCATGAAGCAGGAACCCTGTAAGACTGAGTTCAGCAGTCACTTTCCTGTGGGTCCTGCATGTCCATATTATACAACAACAGTCAAGCAGTACAGGCAAGAGCAGTTTCTTGCCCAAATGGCTAATCTTGCCATGTTGATACATTGTCTCTCCACACTCCACACTGAACTGTGAGTTCTAACCAGGGGTCTTTGTGCAGGGTTCTATCAGTTACTTTTCTGTTATTGTGATAAAAATACCATTATTGAAAGCAGCTCCAGAAGAAAGTTTGACACCAGAGGCAGCCAGAATAAGAAGCTGAGAGATCACCTCCCAATTGCAAATGGAAAGCAGAGAGCGGACTGGAAGTAGGGAGAGGCTGTAAACTGTCAGAGCCTACCCCCAGTGATTCCTTCAGCAAGGCTGCACCTCCACAGGTTCCATAACCTTCAAACAGCGCCACCTACTGGGCACTAAGTGTCAAACACACAAGCCTATGGGGGGGGGGCATTGCTCATCATCCAAACCACCAGAGCAGCAGCAGTTCTCAACCAGGGGATCACAACACCTCTGGAGGTCCAATGACCCTTTCACAGGGGTCATTTAGGACTTAAAACCACAGATGTTTACAATTCCCAACACTGCCAAATTACAGATACAAAGTAACAATGAAAGTAATTTTGTGACTGGGGGTCACCACAACATGAGAAACTGTTAAAGGGTTGCAGCATTAGGAAGGTTAAGAACCACTGTGACAGAAGGTCACAGACTGCCAGGGAGAAGCCTGTGGTCCCTGTGCTGAGGCTGAGTCCTTTGGGTCCCTCTATCATCAGGGTATGAGGGGGTTCTGAGTCCAAGGTGATCCCCCTGGATCTGTGATGATTTGGGACTCACCAGAAGAATGACTTTGCTTATTGACTTGCAAAAGGAGCCACAATGGGCTCTTTAATTCTCCTTTCTGTGTTAATTCCATTGCTATAGTTTCATAGTGAACTCGTGTTCTTTTTGAGAAAAAAAAAGAGTATTTTGAGTCCAGGCCTCATAAAACTCAAGCTACTCTCAAATTCACTGTGACTGATCACAAATTTGAACTCTAGATTCATCTGCTTTTACCTCCCAAGTGCAAGGATTATAGGCATTTAGGACCACGCCCAGGAAGAAAATTCCAGGAATACAGAAACGTCCAGGAGAGCCATCCTCTGCCTGTCCTCTTCCCTTTTTGGCTCCCATGGCTTACTTGGCAGCAGGAGCCCTGCCTCACTGCATTCTGGGCCAGCTTGTACTCCTCACTGTCCCACCAGCTCACCTCTTGACTTCCCTCTGGGGTCGTGGCTTCTCCACACCTCAGCTGCCTTGTTTGTCCTGCAGGAATCAAGGGCTTCTTGTATCCTACACTGTTTTTTGAGACAGGGTTTCTCTGTGGCTTTGGAGGCTGTCCTGGAACTCACTCTGTAGACCAGGCTGGCCTCGAACTCAGGTTCACTTGTCTCTACCGCAAAGGTGTGTGCCACCACCGCCTGGCACATCCTACATGGTTTAGATGACCTGAGTCCAGGTCTGTGACTCTGCCCTGGGCTCATTTGAGAGCTCTTGAATACTGGCTGTGATTATTGTTATTTCGTCTGTCCTGTGTAGGAGAGGAAACTGAAGCATGGAGATGGCCACCTGTATGGTTACATGTCCCATATGTTGTATCAAGCCTGATGTTTGCAAAGAAAGTATCCCTCTTCCTGTCCCGTCACATCCCGTCTGAAACTGGCTGTGCCTTCAGGCTTTCTGCTATAGACCCCACCCTGGTTGCTATCTTTCTGAGGCAGCATCTTTGGGCTAAGCCTAGGAGTGGATTATTTAGTAGCCTGAATGGTTTGATTCTTTGTCCCTCACAAGTTAGCTCAGCCTATTCTTTTTTTTTTTTTTTTTTTTTTTTTTTGGTTTTACAAGACAGGGTTTCTCTGTATTGTTTTGGAGGCTATCGGTGCAGCCCGGCCTCGAACTCACAGAGATCCTCCTGCCTCTGCCTCCTGAGTGCCGGGATTAAAGGCGTGCGCCACCACTGCCCGGCTGCTCAGCCAATTCTTATGAGGAACGTGGCTCTCAGGGACTAATGTGGCTTGGTTGAGACTGGGATAATGCGTTTACTTTCATATAGTCAGGTTGCCAAGTCAGGCTGTCCTTACCTTGTGGCACCCCCTCTGTATTATAGTTGAAAGAGACCCCCTGGGTCCCCAATCAGGCACAAGCCACACCCAAGTGCCTGTTTCCCAGAGAGATCCTTTATTAAGTGGGGAAGAAAAGTTAAAGTGGCTGCTCTCTGACTCAGGAGAAAACAGCAGCAAATGATCTTGCAGGTGTCATTTTTTTTTTTTTTTGGTTTTTATGAGACAGGGTTTCTCTGTATTGTTTTGGAGGCTGTCAGTCCAGCCCGGCCTCGAACTCACAGAGATCCGCCTGCCTCTGCCTCCCAAGTGCTGGGATTAAAGGCGTGCGCCACCACCGCCCGGCTGCAGGTGTCATTTTTAAGTTGAGGAAGAGGGGAGGTCTGCGTTAGAATGGGCTAGGATGCTGTGGTAGAGGAGATAGGGGTCAAAGGGGAAGGGGCATTTGTCCCAGAGGGACAAAAGACTGCCTCTGAATAGAGGAGACAGACATGGCACATAGGCAAATGTGGTTTATAAAGGTAAAGGGGGAAACCCTGTGTTAGAATGAAGTGTTTGATTTTAATTAGGCATGTTAATTAGGTGAACCAAAGGGGACTTTTTGATTGCTAGATTTAGTAGTCAGCTGCAGGAGAAGGAAATGGCCAAATAAAGGAATAGGCCTTGGTGTGGATAGCTTTAGGGATGTAATCTAACTAACGGTTTTCAGCAGGGCGGCGGGAATTGGGAAAGGAAAAAGGCCTGCCAGAGCCGTGGGCACCACACTCAAGCTGACCAGAGTCCCTTCAATAGTGCTATGACCAGATCCTGTGAGATGGGAGAGTGGAGATGCTTTTTCTCGGGGGATCCTGGTACCCTGGACCAGATCCCTGCCATTTCATTGACTGTGAGGCTCAGGGACTCCTGGGGCCACATGTCTATTTGTCCTTCTTTAATGGATAGCAGCTATTAGGCCTTGGAGATTTTACTATTAACACCTAGGATGGTCACAGAGTTGTGTAGGCAATTATGTTCAACTCCCTGTTGTGTGATAAAACTTTTCCAGGAAAACGCAACACACATGTCTACTCAAACCAGATAGGGATCCCACAACAAACCAAAGTACCGACACCACCAAAGTCCAATTGGGTGGACCAATGTGCTTTATTGGGGTTACTTGCAGGAGCAGAAATGACTTAAAGACAGCTGCATCGCCAACGCCCACATGGGTGACAGCTCACAAAAGCTGGGAACCTGGAGCACACTGCACAGCCTGCAGGGTCTTCAATAGGCTGGAGAATGTCCTTTCCAAGAGACTTTGGTCTAAGCCTCTGCCCAGCTGGTGTCTGCTTCTTCAGGCAGCTTTTCTTTCTGAGAGCCTCTGCAGCTCACCTGCCTTCTATCTGAGGGGGACTCTGGACTTTAATTGTTTACTCTGACAGGGAGGGGCCTAGTGGAGCTTGTCAGTTTTAGGAACTTCCTGAAGCTCTTTTGGGTTGTTTATCTTCCTGCTTAAGGATTTCCCTGCAGGATGGAATGCTTCACTCATAGAGGACACTGTTACACAACACTCTCCCTGGGTGTTGCTCTGGGTTACATGAATGCCCTACCTAGAGGCAACTATCATGAGATAGGGAATTCTGGTTTGGGGGGAAGGTCACTCCAAGAGTCAGCTCTAGTGATGCTAAGATGGGTGGGGCCTTCTTGGAGCTCTCAGCCCAGTAGTGGGGTTCAGAAAGGGCTGTTTCTGCCCAGATCTGCTAGCATGGTAGAGGCTCATAGGCCTGGGGCCATCTGCCCCTCAGGCAAAGCCTGTGCTACCTGGGTATTGAGCTTGCCCTGTGATCTTGCTGTGGGGCATGCACTGTAACCAGTATTGCTGATATGTGTAATACTGTCCTAAATTCTTCCAGATACCTGGTGCCTTCTAAGTGAGGGTACTGACATTTCCCCCTTTATAATAAGGTTTAAAAACTTGCCAGGCAGTGGTGGCGCATACCTTTAATCCCAGCACTTGGGAGGCAGAGGCAGAGGCAGGTGGATCTCTGTAAGTTCCAAACTAGCCTGGTCTACAGGATGAGTTCCAGGGCAGCCTCCAAAGCTACACAGAGAAACCCTGTCTCAGGGAAAAAAACAAAAACAAACAAACAAAAAACAACCAATGCTAGCTGGGTATGGTGGTACACACCTTTAATCCTCACACTGCTTAGACAAAAGTATCTCTGTGAGTTTGAAGCCAGCCAGGGCTATGTGGAGAGTCCCTGTCTCTAAATAAAACACCAAGGGGTGGGGGGACACATGTGCTTGGAATTTGGAATATATCATAATAGCTCAGCTGGCAGAGGGCTGGCCTAGCATACATGAAGCCCTGGGTTCAGTTCCCAATACTGTGTAAACTAGGTTTGCTGTCATATGCCTGTAATCCTATTTAATTCACTTATTCACAAAAGGGACTAGGCCATTGCTTAATTTCTGCTACCTGTAGTTTTCATGGTAGGGAGATGTGGGTGGGATCATCTATCTGGAAATGTTTCTAGGAGATTCTGGAAGTAACTGCTCAGGGGGGCAGAGGGAGAGACAGCACCTTAGGAAAGAGTCATATCTGAGAAGAAAGGGCAGCAGGCACCCTGAAGAACAGAGGCCTAAAGTGTAGAATGGGAATGGGGCCACCCAGTGGGCAGGGTCAGCTCTAATTAGCCTAGAGAATAGGCTTGTGTTTGGGGAGTGAGGAGGCTTAGGAGATTGGGAGTATAGAAGTTAGGTTGCCCAGCTCCAGATCCTAAAGGGAACAAGCCAAGACATCCTTTTCCTGCCTGGGTCACCCCCAGGTCCTGGCCAGGCAGCTGGGCTCCTGTGGTTCTCCATACTCAGATGCAGCCCCAGGAAGTTCCTTTTCTTGGGGAGCTGGGCATGAGAGAGCTGAGGCCCAAGAAATTGCTTCTATTGCAGGGTTTGGGTGGGAGGGTCACTTCTAGTAGAAGAAGATGGCCCCTTGGGCAGTGGTCTAGCCTGAATCTGTTAAGGTCCTGGATGGGTCCAGAAAAAAAATTCCTTTCTTCCCACAGAGACCTCAGCGACATCAGAGAGCAGGCTGGTGTAGCCCACAGTGTGGACAAAGGCCCCTGGACTTTCCGGATGGGAACCCCGAGCCCTGGTGCCTCTTCCAGCTCTCCGTGCACTTACGTGATGGTCCACCCAAAGAACTCTGCAGGGCTGGCCCCTGGAATGCCCATGAGGCCCAAAGCATACCTCCCAGGATGACCCCACCAGCCAGAGGCCTGCAACCCAACACTTGCCCAGCTGGAGATGGGCCAGGGCAGTCAGCTCCCATGTATAGGGAGCCCTTGGGGGCCTAGCTGACATTAAAGGCTGGGGCCTCAGCAGGGGACTGTCTGTCCTGGAGGGGAGACCTTTGGTTGTTATAGGACCTGCTCATTGAACTGCTATGGGGATGAGGTCCCAAAGAAGCTGCTTCATGACCAGGGCTCTTTTAAAAAGACTGAGAAATTTTAAGCAGATAATAGTTTTGCATAATAGAACATGAAAATGTTAATAAAGTACTTTAAGCAATACAGGTAGCCACCACATCATGGCCCAGAAGCAGGGACCTCAGGATTTTCATCTGTAAGTTACAGGTGAGAGATATAAATGTGTTTTCTTTGCATAAAAACACAAAAAGGCGCGGAGGGGCTGCTCAGTTGGCAAGATGCTTATCTAGAATGCAGAGCAAGGCTTCAATCCCCAGCCCCACGAAACCAGGCATGGTGGAAGGAGGGGACATGAATTCCAAGGTCATCCTCAACCACATACTAAGTTCAAGGCTAGCCTGTGCTACAGAAGACCCCCTCTAAATAAATTATAGAGCCAGGCAGTGGAGGCACACACCTTTAACCCCAGCACTTAGGAGGATCTCTAAGTTCAGGGCCAGCCTGATCTTGAGTTCCAGGACAGGCCCCAAAGCTACAGAGAAACCCTGTCTCAAAAAAACCTAAGTAAGTGGATTATAAACAAACTCACTTTAAGGTAGAAACCCCTGTCCCACTTGCTCATCCCAACAGACCCTCAAACCAAGTTGTCATAAGCCTGTCCTGTATTTTCACCCCCTGGAACTCTGAGCTTGTTGGAGGCTTTATTACTAATACTGATGAGCTTCTGGGTAGTCATGGAACGCCGGGTACTCACAGGACTGCTGCTGGCAGTCCGGGCTCCTGGAGTCTTAGTGGGAACATTCTCCCTTTCACAGTCCCCCTCTCCCTTTCACAGCCCCCCCTTCCCCATTTCCTTATAGCCTGGACGTTGGTTTTCAAGGTGAGGTGTAGTGTGAGCTCCAGGTGCCTTTCTGCCCTGAAAGTCACTTTTCTGGTTTCTACGGGTACTTATATTCATGTATACATACAACATAATTTTAAAAATGTATATATGCTTGTATCCTCCCACAATTTGGGATATGGCCTGTCTCTAGCCATTGAGAACAGTCAACTTTGTCCTGTGTCCTTCCTGGAGGAGCAAAGACATGTTGGAGCCATGAGTAAGAACCTGAAGAAGCAGGCAAGAGGAAGCTGGAGCACCTGCCCATGGACCTCGTTGTCCCTTACCTGCTACAACCATGGTTCTATTTCCTCATAAACAATAACCATATACCTGATAGGAGTCACACTGTCCCTCTGATGAATGCCCTGTAATTTACATTCTATAAAATATATGAGATGAATACTATATATGTGTGTATATATACATATATATATGTACACACACGCAAAATGTAAATTATACATCCCAGCTAAAAAGACTGGGTAGTTGGGTAGTTTACATTCCCAGGTGTCACTTTTTTTGGATACTTGTCCTGATGCCCTCACACTAGATTTCCAGGGTCAGAATTCAAGTCAGTGGCACATAGGCTGGCAGGCTCAGAAGTGCTCTCCCAGCTTTGTTGGTTGTGGAGAGCGGTGTTCTGAGGGTCTGATGGCCTTAGCTTCAGGTCAGGTCTGCTTTGCTATGGTGGATCTCGATGTTGGTCAGACTTCAGTCCACCAACCCAGGTTTGGATGGACAGCAAAGGCCCTGGGTTTCACTAAGTTCCAGTCCCTGTCTCCTGGTAGTAATCAATGGCAGAGGTTGGACACCCCTGAAATTTGGTGCATAAAATCTTTGTAATGTGTATGAGTGTTTTGTCTATATGTACGTGAATGTACCATATGTGTCCCTGGTGCCCACAGAAAGCAGAAGAGGGCACTGGATCCCCCTGGAGTGGAATTTACAGTTGTAAACCATGTGGGCACCAGGAACCGGACCTAGGTTCTCTGCAAGAGCAGCAAGTGCTCTAACCCTGAGCTGTACCTCTGGTCTCGGCCTCTTTTTACTTTTGAAGACATGGTTTTGTGTTTGTGTTTGTTTTGAAACAGGGTTTCTCTGTGTAACAGCCCTAGCTGTCCTGGAACTAACTTTGTAGACCAGGTTTGCTTCCAACTCACAGAGATCCACCTGCCCCTGCTTCCCAAGTGCTGGGATTAAAGGCATGTATTACCACCACCCAGATGAGTTGAAGACATTGTTACACTATGTGGTTGACTAGTCATGCATTCAAATCCTGCCTCAGTTTCCCAAATAGCTGGGATGATAGTCACAAGTTACTAGGGACCCTACTGTTTGGTTTTTAGTTTGTTTTTGAGATGGCGGTCTTATTGCCTTGCCCAGGCTGGTCTCCAGTTTGTGTGTTCAAGAGACTCCTGCTTCCATCTACAAAGCAGCTGGTACCACCCTCACTATGTGCCTACACAGCTAGGCAAGCTCCCCCCACTTTCTATTTTATTGAGACTGGGTTTCCTGAAGTCCAGGAAACCCTGAATTGAAGATGAGCCTGAACTACTGATCCTCCTGTGTCCACCTTCCAAGTGCTACAATTACAGGCACACACTGTCACATCCAGTTTATGTATTGCTAGGGATCAAAACCAGGGTCTCACTAGGCAGACCGTCTATTGATGAGCCACATCCTCGGCTCTCTGCTTCTCTTTTAAGGCTGAAATATTCTGTCATTTGGATGAGCTGCCTTCATCCACTGGTTCCCTGTGAATGGCCCCAGCCTCTCTTACTGTATGTGCTGCTGTGGCTGCGGTGAACACTAGTGTGCCTATCTTTCTTTCAGACTCAGTTTTCAGTTCTTTTGTTTATTTGGAGAGTTGGTAAACCAGACCAGATCACCATAAGCCTACCCTCACCCCAAGACCATGTCCCTCAAACTTTGAATTCACAATTGCCTGGCCTGCACACCCCTACATGATCTGCCATCACTTTCTGACCTCACACCCGTTGCTGGTTCCCTCACTCCAGATACACTGGCTGGGCCACGAATACAGCAATGCCCCTTGTGGATCCTGCGGGTGCTGCAGAACACTTCCCCCGGTTATCCTGTGGTACCCTCACTTCAGCCTGCTCTGCTCTGATGGTGCCCCGGGGAGAGCACTTGTGAGTCTACTCAAGGCTGTACGTTTGAGTCTCAGCACCCACATGTGCGTGCATGCAGGAGACAACAGTCATTTACCTCTGCTGGTTTGTGGGTGTACAAACTGGCACTATGAGCACCCCCACGGTATGGTTAAAGGGAGGGTTTTTATTGTAGATTTGAGGGAGAACAGCCAAAGGCATCTGGAAGAGTGAAGCAGAGACAGAAGACTGGACATGGCCAGTAGATTGGACCTGGCCAGGGCTACCAGGAGAAAATATGGGAGAATAGATAGAATGTAGTGAGAGGAGCAGAGGAGGGTGAGACAGACAGCGTGCACTTAGGGAGAGTGGCAGGGTTATAAGGACTGCGTATATGCTTTCAGCACCAGGGGAAGGACTTCTAAGTCTAAATTTAGAAAACAACCAGAGGAAATTTAAAAATTTGAACCTGTGATTATGATAATAGCAGCCAGAGCTTTACCAAGGTTGGGTTAATAACTTTTCAGAACTATGTTGAACTCTGAACTTTTGGAGTCTTAATAGCATGTATCATCTTTTTGTTTGTTTTTCGAGACAGGGTTTCCCGGTGTAGCCCTGGAATTAGCTCTTGTAGATCAGGCTGGACTCAAACTCACAGACATCTGCCTGCCTCTGCCTGCCAATTGCTGGGGGCAAGTATCATCTTTAAGTCTCTCTCTTTTTTTTCATATACTTTTAATCACTTCCTGAGGCTCTCAAATAAACTTTATACCTTTTCGTCTGTTCAGTCATTTGCCACAAAGACATAGGTAGTTGGTTATTGAGAGCACTCATTGGAAAGCAAGTTCCTTTAAATAAAGGAATAGCAAAAACATTTTTTTAGTAATAGCATAATAGCTTGAATTTGTCTTTACATGAAACTCATTTTGTGCTTCTCTTTTTCAGTGTGAAGCCTGTCAGCAAGGTAACCCTGTCAGTGAGTCTGCCTTTCTCAGAAGGAGACCTAGTAATAGCTCTAGAAAAAGTAAGGCCTGAATTTTACGTGTGAAATGGACTAGGCAATGCAGCCTCTGGGAGAGAAGCTGTCTGGCTAAGGCCTGCTTGCCTCTGCTAGACTGACAAAGCTACAGCTCACCTCGAGCACCATCATAGAGATGTGAGGAGGATCCAATGGCCTCTGTGTCTTTAAGGTGACAGAGACTTGCCCTCCACCTGGACAGCCAGCCTGGGATCCTCCATTGTGATCTTGATGGCCCTGGGGACACATGTCATCAGTTTTTGCCTGTCACAGTTGTCACAAGGGACAGCATTAAGCCTTCTGCTCACACACAGAGCAGCATGAGCCTTCAGCCGCCAGACCCAGGTCTGAGAGAGTTTTCTCTGGAGGAGGAACGTGGGAACATTGACAGAACAGGGCAGTAAACCAAATGTGTCCACAATTTGGGCAGGACCCTTGCGGCAGATGAGGCATGAGGCAGGTCTTTGCCCAGTGGTCAGCATCACCACGACTGAAGTAAACTCCAGGTGGAGTCCATTACTTCCCACCTTTGATGACAGCCTCAGCTGCTGCTACCAGAAGGTGGTATGTTTGTCTCTCAGGGAAACAGCCTTCAGTGAACACTTTAAATGCCACATTCATCATACCTCTCTGAGGGGTTTGAAAGACAAAATCTAATCTATTAAGCATACCTGGTTTTAAACAAACTTTTCTTTTTAGTTATCTTCTTCAGGCTTAACCCTGACAGCATATATAGAAGTTGAAGTTTGACCCTGTAAATGAATTACATTTGTACTTTTGGCCTACAAGCATAGTTCTGGGCAAAGTTAAAGAACTTGATCATTTATAAGGTGACTGACCATTAACTTGCATGATAACAGTTTACATCAAGTTGGTAGCTTTTTTTTTTCTTTCTTTTTTCTTTTTTCTTTTTCTTTTTCAAGGCAGGGTTTCTCTATGTAGCTTTGGAGCCTGTCCTGGAACTAGCTCTTATAGACCACGTTGGTCTTGAACTCACAGAGATCCGCCTGCCTCTGCCTCCTGAGTGCTGGGACTGAAGGCGTGTGCCACCACTACCCGGCCAGGATTTTACAGTTTTATTCCTGTTAGAGCTTTAAAAATCTGAGTTGAAGATCCTTTAGTATCAAGATGAAGCTTAAACCATAAATACAGTCCATCTAGAGACTGGGAACCTTAACTTTCCTGATTCTTTCCTAATGCACCATTACAGAGTATTAGTTTCTTGTATGACTCAGTTTACCCAAATAGCTTAACCTTAACAAAGTTAGCAAAGACAAAGAGGCTATACATACATCTTCAAGTCAGTTTCTGCTAGCCTGAATAGACCTTAGGAATTTATAGACCTTATTTATCAAACATATCTCTCTCTTTTTTTTTTTTTTTTTGGTTTTTCGAGACAGGGTTTCTCTGTATTGTTTTGGAGGCTGTCGGTCCAGCCTGGCCTCCAACTCACAGAGATCTGCCTGCGTCTGCCTCCCAAGTGCTGGGATTAAAGGTGTGTGCCACCACCGCCTGGCTTATCAAACATATCTTATTTATCAAACATACATTGTTCCTTACCTAAAATTATCTAGAAGCCTGGCATTGAAAACAGTTAGCAAAGGCATATAGGTGGTTAGACATACAATCTAAGTCAGTTTCTGTTAACCTGAGTAGATGTTTATAACCTTAGGAATTTACAAACTTTAATCATATTTGTTTTTCTATTTTCCATAAATAAGAATTGAATCCAAGATACATGGCTATAGAAAATTAAGATTACCTATGTATAGATAAAAAACTATCAACACTTTTTATTACAAGTCTTAAACTGACTTTTTTGTTACAGATTATACAGGGTTTTTTTGTTTTTTGGGTTTGTTTGTTTGTTTGTTTGTTTTTTGAGGCAGGGTTTCTCTGTGTAACAGTCCTGGCTGTCCTGGCACTCTCTCTGTAGACCAGCCTGGCCTCGAATTTAATGAGATCCACCTGTTTCTGCCTCCCAAGTGCTGGGATTAAAGGTGTGCACCACCACCACCCAACTGAGATTTTACAGGTTTTTAAAAAACCTCACCCAGTCAATTTACAAATCCTGATATAAAGAGAATTTACACAATAGTCTTGCAAATCTTGAGATAAAGCTTATTTTAGCAAAAGTTTTAGAATTTTAAGAGAAGAGAAAATTTAGAGAATTAGACAAACCCATGAAAAGGTGTGTGAGGCTGGGCGTTGGTGGCACACGCCTTTAGTTCCAGCACTCGGGAGGCAGAGGCAGGAGGATCTCTATGAGTTTGAGGCCAGCCTGGTCTACAGAGAGAGTGCCAGGATAGGCTCCAAAGGAGAAGCCCTGTCTCAGAGAGAGAGAGAGAGAGAGAGAGAGAGAGAGAGAGAGAGAGAGAGAGAGAGAGAGAGAGACAGACAGACAGACAGACAAGACAGACAGAAAGAAAGAAAGGGCGTGTGAAGCAAGCAGCTGTGGTCCCTGTAGGGAACAATTTACTCTTTAGCTGTTTTAAGTCACATGGTTTTTCCCTGTGATGTTACAGTTTGTTCTCCCTGTCACAGAGTCAGGTGGCCCACCTGACCCAGGACAGAGATTTTGGAGGAAACTTTCAAACAAGGGTCTGGAAAGGGAAGGTCATAACCCAACTTTTTATAGAGTAGGGCAACATGAAACAAAAATTTAATGCTATCTACACCCCCAAAGACATTTGAATCTCTGTAGAGCTGGATGTAACAATCAGCAAGCAAAGAAGGCTTGGAGATGAGATTTTTGAGAGTGGAGAGCAGGTAAGATTTAGGGGTTTTGGGATCATTTGTTTGCACAGAAGTTGTTACAGTCTGTGAGAATTTGGAGATGTAGTGTGCCGTTTTTGGCCTCTGAGATGTACTGAGGCCAAGCCAATTGCAGCAAGACAGCGGCGAGACTAAAGGAGGAAGAGATTAGAGAAGGCGGGTGAGTACTCGATTAGTGGTTAACATTAGAGCCAGGAGCCAGCTGAGAAAGGAGCCAGCAGGAAAGAAGACTTCCTTTAGAGAGAGGGTGAGGGTCACAAACAGGAACTCTGCTAGAAGGAGGAATCCAACACCTTAGAGACCCAGGAGGGCACAGTACCCAGGAGGGGACTTCAACAGCAGGACAGAGACAGCGCAGGCAGCTCCTAGGGGGTGGGGGGAGAGACTAGTGGTTAGAGACAGAGAAAGCCCTGGTTAGAGACAGACCTAGCACAGCTAGCCAAGAGCAGAGTGAGCTCCGGTAGTGAGCTGAGAACATGTCGGGAGGAAGATCAAGGATAGGAGAGTAAGTGCCCTGGTGACAAGAATTCCAATCTGGGATGTCCCTGAGCACACTCCTCACAGAGAAATGTCTCAAATCACAAAGGAGAGGCTTCCCGGTGACACTCAAGTACCAGGGAAGAGAAGGTGGAGGGGAGAAGCAGCCTCTAACATTCGGAGTTGAACATGGAGGGCGGCAGGAGGCAGTGGAAACAGACGATCCGATCCGTACCTTAGGAGAGTTAAATCAGCTGCCTGGCTCAGTTAGGAGAGGCCACGTTCCTCATCCCTACCCCACGCCTGTGCTGTCTGGTCACCCTGGCCTGCCCTCCCCTCCGCAAGAACACCGCAGGTCACTTTCTCTCGCCGTAACTGTGTACCACAGATGGGAGAGCTGAGGAAGAATGAATTTAGTTTACACGCCTGGAGCATGGTGCTAGCGTCTCCTGGGCCCCTGGCAGGGGTCTTTCTGCTGGGCGGTTCCGTGGAGGACTTGGTGAGAGGCAGCAAGCTTTCCTTCATTACAAAGCATTCCTCACAAATCCCTTAATCCGCTAATCCACAGATTAATCCATTTGAGAAGACAGAGCACCTCCTGGCAGTTCAACCTGGCCACACCTCATTGTGTGGATTAATCTGCATGGGTTTGAGTCCTGAAATTCAAACCCTAGCAGCTGGTTTAGCCAGAGTCTCCCTCCTACCTTGTGTGTTCATGTGTGCACATGTTGGCATATGCACATGAGTCTATGGGTGCATGTGGAGACCAGAATTTGCATCCAGAGTACAGGCACATGCTGCTGGTCCAAACTTTTTATATGTGTGCTGTGGATCTGAACTCAGGTCCTCATGCTTTTGGGACAGGCTGGCTAATCCCAACTCCCCACTCCCATCCCTTCTCTGTCTCCAGCTGTTGCCTTTCTTTTTAATTTTTGAGAGAGTCTCATCTATCCCAGGCTAACCTTGAACTATGTAGCCGAGAATGACTTTGAATTTCTGAGCCCTCTGCCTCTGCCCCCTGAGTACCGGGGTTGCCGGTGTGCACTGCCACGCCTACCTTGGTTGGTCCTGGAGATCTAGCCCAGGGCTTCATGCAAGCACACTATCAGCTGCCTCAGCCTCTTGGTGTCTCTCAGCTTTGTGTCTGCCGAGCCCCCACTGCCTGCTCCTTGGCTGTGACCCCCACACTGCTCTTACTGCCCTCAGAGCAGAGCTATCTTCTGCACCTAGCTTTTATTCTTTCCAGCTATTACAGCGGTCTCACGGGCTGTGGCTCTGGCCAGCTCTGGCTTTCCCTTGGCTGTGTCTAACAAAAGGGCTTCTAGTGGCTTTGCAGGGGGTCAGGTGTATCAGCTGGCACCCTGGAAGTCTGCACAGACGTTGAATGTTCAGATATCTGGTTGACAGGTCCTGCCAGCAGGGGAGCAGCAGTCTGCCCACCTCCCCCTCCCTGGCCTAGGGAAGAGGTGGGAGTACCCAGGGCCTTGGAGAGCCTTGCTCCTCTTGTAGATTCTGCTGTGGACATCAGGTGTGGTTGGTAGCCCCTTGTGTATCTTGGCATAGACTAAGATCTTCTGTCCCTGAAGGCTTGGGGTGAGTTAGGGGAGGGGTAGCTCCTGTAGGGTCTAGGTTGTAAAATCCCTGTGAGCTGGGGTGGTGACCTTGAACCAAACGTTGTACAAATTCTGGAGTGCTCTCCATCTGTCTGGTCTGTGTTGGAATCTGAGCAAACCTCACTCTCTGCAGTGTTCAGCAAGGGGCAGGAGTGTTGCGATCGCTACCACTGGGTCCAAGAGTCTGGAATTCCCAGTGACTTTGCAAGTCGACTACCAGATGCCGTTTGAGCCTCCTGTCTACAAGAGGAGAGGCTGCAGCCCTGGGGAGAGCTGAGGCAGAGGTGGAGGGCTCAGGGACCCGGGGATTCCTGGGCTGGGCAGGGGCACGCAGTCCTGGTCTGGTTCCAGTGTCTCAAGTTACAGCTCTAAAATGTGCTGCATTAGCAGCACCAGCAGAGACAGGTAAAATCTGGTGCCTGTCACCATTGCAGGCTGCGAGGGTCTTGCCTCTCCCACCCCCACAGACCTCTGTTTCCTGGCTGGGCTTCCTGTGGTGAGCACCAGAGATCAGGCCTGCCCACAACAAGAGGGAACCAAGTGCAGAGGTGAAAAGATTTGCCCGAGGCCGCGTATTTTATAATTAGGAAAACTGAGGCTCGGTCAAACTAAATGACTTTCCTAACTAGGTTGCAATGCCAGGCACTTGTCCCCTTTTGTAATTAGGGGACCAAGCTCACTGTTATGTCTCAAATCCTAGGTGCCAGTGAACGCCCACCGGCCTTTTTTGTTTGGCTTCACCGGCTACGTGACCTTGGGTAATCCACGTCTCTTTTAAGACTCAGTTTCTTCATCCGGGAGATGTGGGTGAGGAACCAGGGTGCCGCAGCGGAAAACTGAGCCACCGAGAAGCACACACCTACCTCCTAACCTCGGAGAGAAGCAGGCACCAGTCCCGGCGGAGGGGCGGGGCCTAAACAAAGGGGCGTGGACCGCGTGGGGCGGGGCTTGAGTTCTCGGGTCTGGACGGGGACCCGGGCGGTACTGTGCTCCTCCGCTGTGTCACTCAAGCTGGAGGGGGTGGGACTCCGGTCTCCGCTACTGCATAAACTCCTCAGGGGCGGGGCTCACAGAGGCGCGTAGTTCAGAGCTCCCGGGGAAGCCTGAGCCTGGGATGACAGGGGGCGGGTTTCCGTGCGGGGCGTAGTTTATAGTTGTGGACGGTGTTTAGAGCTCCGGCCCCGCCCGCTGCTGACGCAGCCCCAGAGCTCCCTACGGGAGGGGGCGTGGCTAGTTTGAAGGCGGGGCTTGGGGCTGGAGACGTTGTCGCCGTCGCTGGGCGGGGCATAGAGGGAAGAGGCGGGGCATAGGGCGCCGGTCACCGGAGCCGTCGGGCCGGGCGGCGGACAGCCGAGGACCGCGGGGCGGCGCCGTGTCCTCCGCCATGACAGGTGGGCGCAGGGCCAGGCGGGCGACGGGAGCTCAGTGACCTTGGCGTTAGCTGGCACCGACGACGCGGGCATCGCGGCGCGCGCGGTGGCGGGGTGTCCCGCGCTCTGAGTCGCGGGCCGGGGGCGCCGGGGGGTCTCGGGTGCGGAGTGGGGGCCGTCGCGGGCCGAGGAGACAGAGTCGCAGGTGAGCGCCCACAGTGCACCGGCTGCACCTGCGGAGCAGGGCGGTGTCCCGGGGCGGGATGGATCTGAGAGAGGGAAATGGTGCTCACCGCCAGACTGCTGAGACTCTAGAGCAGCGACTGCACTTACCCTCACGGAGGCGGGACCAGCGCTGCGCTCCAGGGCACCTAGTGGTACCAGTGAGACGCCCCCTGCTTCCCGCTTGCTCTGGGGCCTGTGAGACTCCAGCCATGTCCCTTTCTCTAGATGGGTCTACGGAATTCGGAGCTACCAACCGGATCCCTGTTCTCTAGGCTTGGTAGCCCCAGCTCAACCCTTTGCTCTGGGAACTCACCCACTTTATTTCTGATCCCAGCCACACACAGTGACATTGCTGTGCTGAGTTTTCCCTGTAGAAGAATGCCATAAGGATGAGTCAGCGAGGGATCCCCTCTGGCAGAGAGCCCGGGGATCGTGGTGGCTCCCAGATGCCACACTTTGTTTCTGGGAGTCTCACTCTCATGCTTCATGTGACAGAGGTCACCTGGGATGGCCCAGGGAGTCGGGGTAGCCACAGAAGTACCCAAGAGTCTCTAAACTGGAGTTGGCATTGGTGGTGCACAAAAATAAGGCCTTAGAAGTTGGAACCTGGTGACTTCCAAGACACCCCGGAGGAAACCCCAGCTACCAGTCTCCTTCATCATCCCTCCAGGCCCTTCTTGTTTGGGGCTGCAATTTCTGAGCACCTATGTGCAGAACCCTGCTTGAGTCTCTAATATGCACTCGTTCAGAATGTCTGCATGGGAACATAAGGAATATTGTGTCTGTGTAGGGACAGGGAGATAGAATCTCAGGTTGGGTAAGTGCCCCCAGACCCCTCTGCTGCTCAGTGGTAGGAGCAGAATGAAGGGGGGGGGATGATCTCACACACATGCTGGGCCCTGCCCTGCCTCTGGTTTTGCAGACCTCAGCTGTATTGTCTCCAAGGGCCATTGCAAAGACAGGAGACCGGTGGAAAATGAGGCATCCCACCTCCCGAAGAATAGGCAGTGGGGGTTGGGGGGCTTTTAGCCAGCAGGGCACAGCCAGCCCCTAACTGGCAATGACACTCCTTTTTCTCTGCCACATACTTGCTGGCTTTTTGACATCTCACCACCCTCCCCTTCTCTGGTTGGAGATGGAGACTGAAGAACAGAAGCCTGAGAGTTGGATGGGCAGCCCTGGGGCCGTTGTTCTTGACTCCAGTGCCCTACTGCACCAGCGGGGGTCTGCCATACTGATTGATCTTTGCTGTCCCACCCCCTTGTGTATGTGTCTGCATGTGAGTCTGTGTGAGAGTGTGTGTCTGTGTGTGTGTGCATGAGTGAATGTGTGTGTGAGTGTGTATGTGTGTGTGTCTGTGTGTGTGTTGATGGCTATAGAACACTGAGAGTTGTGTTTTCATAGAACAGGTAGTATCCTGTGGAGTGATGACAAGAGCTTCTGGGAGAGACTCAGGGGGCAGTTGATGGCCAAGTTGTAGACCCCGGGAGAGTGATTGGTGAGTTCTTGGAAGGGGCCTAAATAAGCTGGGCATGAATGAACCAGGTTTTCTCAGCCCACTGCCTGGGCCTTGACTCTGTAGATGTGAACTGCAGACAAGAAGGCTTTGGAACCTCTAAGGGGGAGAGTAAGGGCAGGTGGGGCCAGCTGCTTCCGGGTCTGAGGTGCCAGAGTGAGGACTTAGGTCTGAGATGCCGAAGTTCAGGCCATGTTCCTGGTACCAGCTGGCAGGAAGGAGAAAATACAGGCAAATGCCCATGGATTCTGTACAGAGTGATCTATCTTCTTTTATCTAGTAAAGGCATTCCTGGCCTTGTTTACAGGGGCCTGGTATCCAGGCAGAGCCTTGCCTGAGTCTCCGTGGTACCCAGCAGCTGCCTGTATGGGTGCACGCATAGCTCACAGAGCCACAGGAAGCACAGGAAGTGCCTTGCTCTGGAGCTGCTGGCTTCAGCCCCTGGGCTGGGCCACCCGCAGCAGGTGACTCAGGGCTCCTGTGACTCATGCCTTGTGGGCAGCAGAGGCCCATCTTGGCTAGCGGCTTTCAGGGTGGGAGGAGGCCGCTAAGAGGCGTTGGCCACTGTCTGCCCGCAGACCTCGCCTTTGGACCTTGGACTGCAGTCCACTCATTCTAGAACTCTTTAGTGAGTGCCTACTGTGTGTGCAGCCTTGCACACATTGGCACAATGTAGAGACAAGAGAACACAACCCTGAACTCACAGCGATCCGTGTTAGTGACAGAACAGAATGGATTTCGGATGACTACAGGCAGCCCCAGCATGGTCGTGGTACCTCCAGGCTGACTGCAGTCTTGTCACCCTACCGTGCCTTCATTTCCCTGTTTGAAAGGAGGACAGTTGCCGGGTTGGTGGGAGAATGGAGGTTATAGGTAGGTGGGAGCAGAAGCACAGACTGTCTGGTCTGTGGAGTGTTTTGTGAGCTGGCTCAGGGTTCATCTGAATCCTAATGGGATGCTGCAGGCACTGAGCCAGCCTACCTAATACACCCGGGTGCCTATGGGCTGTTGGTAAATCTGTCTTCTACACAGGTTGGCAGGGGCTCGGCCAGTATGCCCAGTCCCCAGCTGCCATGCTGGGGTGGTGCCGATAGCCTCAGGCACCGAGGGGATGGCTGATGAACCAATGTGTGGGCCTCGGGAGAGCAAAGGCTGTCATCCAGGGCAGCCCCATCCCTGGTCTCTGAGAGCAGGTTCCTGGGCCGAGGATGTGTTTTCATGGGGTCCTTGATGAATGCAGCCCCCACTGTTGCACTGTAACTCCTGGAAGTCACCCCCAAGTTCCTGGCATAGTGTGGGCGTACTGATAGACTGTGCCTACCTGGATAAGGAAGGATCCCCTCAAAGCCACCATCTGGGATTGGAGTGTGCCAGAGACAGAAGACAGGCCATGGAGGGAGTAGCAGGGGAGCAGAGGTCTGAGGAAGGTAGCCTGTTGATTCCATACCCAGGGATAAAGCCAGGGACAGGGCTTACTTTGCCCGACATGGTGACCCTATTTTGTAAAAAGCCAACCTACCTTACAGAGGTCTAACCCAATTGCAAGTAGATACACTGCTTTTAGATGTATTTTCTGTTTGCAGATATTTTGCAGACATGCATGTATGTCTACCCATGTGTGCCTGGGCCAAAAAGGTCAGAAGAGCCATTAGGTCTCTTGGATCTGGAGTTATAGACCATTGTGAGCCACCGTGTTTTCTCCAAGAGTAACACATGCTCTTAACCACTGAGCTGCATTTGCTTTTAATGAACAGTTTGATACATTCTGCTAAATGCCTGCACCTGTGTAAGCATAAGCCAGGCAGCATCTAGACATTTCTGTGACTCAGGAAGATCCTTTGAGCTCCTTCTCAAGTAATCTATTCCAACTCAGAGTTGCTCTGCTCTCCATGACTTCCCCTCCTACCCGTTTTTCCATAAACATCAACAATGGAAATTTCCAAATAAGTTTTCTTAGTAGACTTTACTTACTTGTTTATTTTGAGTCAAAATCTCTTTTTTGTGCAGGCTGCTGCAGCCTCTTCAGTAGCTAGGACTGCAGGTATATACTGCCTGGGTGTGTGCTGCCTGGGCGTGTACTGCCTGGGTGTGTCCTGCCTGGCTCTGGGCTTTATTTGGGGGCAGCTGACTGAAGATTGAGCAGATGTACAGAGACTGAGGAATGGATTCCCCTTCCCTCCCTCCTATCATTACCATTTCCTGTCAATAGCCAAAGCCCAGAATCTGCTTTAGCATTCCCTCCTGGTGTTGGACATTCGTGGGCTTTGACAAATGCTTTATGCCATCATGCAGAATAGTTTCACCGCCTAACACTCCCCTTGGCCCTGCTTACTCATCCCCCCCTTCTTCCTCAGGCCTGGCAACCCCTGATTTTATTGTCTCCTTGGTATTGCCTTTTCTGCAGTGTGGTGTAATTAGAGCCATATGGTATGGGACTTTCTCAGACAAGCTCTTCTTCCCTTAGTAATGTGAGCCTAAGGCTCCTCCACATATTTTCTTTTTTTGGTTTTTGGTTTTTTTTTTTGTTTTTCGAGACAGGGTTTCTCTGTGGCTTTGGAGGCTGTCCTGGAACTCACTCTGTAGACCAGGCTGGCCTTGAACTCACAGAGATCCGCCTGCCTCTGCCTCCCGAGTGCTGGGATTAAGGGTGTGCGCCACCAACGCCCGGCTTCCACATATTTTCATATCACTAGTTTATTTATGCTTTGCCATACTGAGGACCAAACCCAGGACCTTGTACATGCTAGGAAAGATACCGCTGAAATGTATCTTTAAATTTTTTCTTTTGGCACAGGGCCTACCTCACTAAGTTGTCCAAGCAGGCCTTGAAGTTGGGGTCCTTCTGTCTCAGCCCAGCCCATCTTTCCACCCCCGTCCTGTGATGTGTGTGCATGTGTGTGTGTGGGGGGGGTGCGTACATGCCACAGCACACACATGGAAGTCAGAGGACAGCCTCAGGTGTTGGTCCTTGCCTTCTGCCTTGCTTGAGAGAGGGTCTCTCTTCTATTGTCCACTGCCATCTGTATGCCAGGCTGGCGACCCTGTCCCCACTGTAGTTTTTGAGGTCCCTGGAGCTCCCCAGTTCAGCTAGACTCTCTTTGTCTAGCGAGCCTAGGGATTTACCCGTCTCACCCTCCTAAGTGCCGGAGTTGCAGGATATGCCCCTACTCCTGGGCTTGTGTGCGTTCACCGGAATTGAACTCAGACCCCCACACCCATAGCTCCAAAGCCCGACTGAGTCATCTTCTTACTGGCCTCTTTTTGTTTATTTGTTTTTGTTTTTTGGTCCCACATTATGTAGGCTAGACTTGCCTTGAATTACGACCCTGTGCCTCAGCATTCCCAGTGCTAAAACTACAGTTGTGCAGGCCATCCTGCTGTCATTTCTGATGTTAGTAATTTGAGTCATTTTTGTCAGTCTATTTATTTATTTATGGTTGGTGTTTTTGGAGACAGGGTTTCTCTGTGTAGCCCTAGCTGTCCTGAAACTTGCTCTGTAGACCAGGCTGGCCTTGAACTCACAGAGATCCCCCTGCCTCTGCATCCTGAGTGCTGGGACTAAAGGCGTGCGCCACCACTGCCCAGCTTTGTTAGTCTGTTTAAATATCTGTTAATTTTGTTGACCTTTTCAATGAATAAACTTTAGTTTTGTTGATTTTTCTCTCTTTTTTTTATTTTTGGTTTTACGAGACAGGGTTTCTCTGTTTTGGAGGCTGTCAGTCCAGCCTGGCCTCGAACTCACAGAGATCCGCCTGCCTCTGCCTCCCGAGTGCTGGGATTAAAGGCGTGCGCCACCAACGCCCGGCTTGATTTTTCTCTTTTATAAATGTTTACTTCTCAAGGTTATCTTTAGTCTGCACTATTTCCTCCTTTCTGTTAGCTTTGTGGTTGACTTGTCTAGTTGTTCTAGTCTCTCCCCCCTTCCCATGTAGTTGCCTTTTTTTAAGTTGGTGGAGTGTAATGTTAGGACATTAACTTTAGATCTACCTGTCTGTCTGTCTGTCTGTCTATCTATCTACTTATCTCTCTATTTTTGAGACAAGGTTTCACTGTGCTCTATGTACTATGTAGCTCCAGGTAGCTCGGACTCTACATAGACCAAGGTGCCCTTAAGCCCATAGAAGTCTACGTGTTTCTGTCTGCAGAGTGGTAAGAATACAGCGTGTGCCACACCTGACCCAAGCTCTCTCTTTTTAAAAGGTGCGAACTTCTGGCTGTTGCTTCTCCCTCTCAGAAGCATGCTTTCTCCATCCCTTAGGTTTTGGTGTGTTTGTTTCTCATTGGACTCAAGGTTGCTTTCCATTTATTTTGTGGTTTCATTTTGACCTATTAGTTCAGTGGTTCTCAACCTGTGGGTAGTGATCGCTTCAGGGGTCCAGTAACCCTTTCACAGGGGTCACCTAAAACCATCAGAAAACACAGATATTTATTTACATTATGATTCATAACTGTAGCAAAATTACAATTATGAAGTAGCAACAAAAATAATTTTATAGTTGGGGTCACTATAACATGAGGAACTGTATAAAGGGTCACAGCATTAGTTGTTTGATTCCTACAGGTGTGTGAACTCTGACTAGCTTCATGTCACATGACCTGAAAAAAGCCTTTGATTTAAATGCTTTTAAATATATTGAGACTTATTTGTGGCTGAGGATCTGCATGTTTTGTGATCTGAAGCATGTTCCATGTGTACTTGGGAAAAGTGTGGCCTTTCTATTACGGGGCAGTGTGGTTTTTTTGTTTTGTTTTGTTTTGTTTTTTCGAGACAGGGTTTCTCTGTGGCTTTGGAGGCTGTCCTGGAACTCGCTCTGTAGACCAGGCTGGCCTTGAACTCACAGAGATCCGCCTGCCTCTGCCTCCCGAGTGCTGGGATTAAAGGTGTGCGCCACCAACGCCCGGCTGGGCAGTGTGTTTTGTGTATGACTTTTAGGTTAAGTTTAGAGCATTGTTCAAGTGTTCCATTTCCTTATTGATCCTTTATCTGCCTTTAAAGTGTATATAGTGTATATTAACATCTTTAAATAATAGAGTTGTCTGTTTTTCCCTTCAGTTCCTCCAGTATCTCCTCATTCGGGGCTTGGACACTTGGTGCCTATGTGTTTGTAGTTTTACCTATTCCTGATGAATTAACCTTGTATTCACATATGCTGGGCTTTTTTTAAATCTCTTGTTCCAGTTTGGACTTAAAGTCCATTTTGTCTAATACTAATCCATCCACGCCAGCTCTGCTTTGGTTTCTGTTTGCAATCAAGTGTCTCTAACCTGTTGCCTGTGGGCCACATGTGACTGGATGTGACTGAGGACAGCTGAGAATGTAGCCCACCACAAAAGTGTAAACTTGCTGAAAACATAGTGGGATTGTTCTTGAACATAACATTTGTATATGACAGCTTCCCGTATTGAAATGTCAAAAGGCTGGACACGCCTGAGGGGAATGGTTTTCCTCATTTCGCTTTAGCTCTTTAGTGAGCATCTTGTCAGCATTTAGTTGGAGCATGTTTTAAGGCCGGCCATGCTGCCACTCTTTGCCTTTTGAGTAGAGCTTATCCTATTTATATTTAAAGTAATTGCTGAGAATGAAAGATTCATCTCTGCAGTTTGTGTTTTGTAGGTCTTTTAGCTTTTCCTGCCGATTTCCCTTGTGTTTAGTTAATGTGACATTTTGATTCTTTTATTTATCTTATGTGTATCCTATAGATGTTTTCTTTGTGGCTAACGTGAAAACTGTAGATGCAGCCTCCAGAGAGACTGCTGCCCTTCCAGCAGGTGTGGACCCCTGCCCTCAGCACCAGGAGTGCCGCCTTTGATCCCTCTTGAGGCTGCGCTGACTCACCCCTCTTTACCCACATGTGTTTCAGATCAGACCTACTGTGACCGGCTGGTACAGGACACACCTTTCCTGACGGGGCAGGGTCGCCTGAGCGAGCAGCAGGTCGACAGGATCATTCTCCAGCTGAACCGATACTACCCACAAATCCTTACCAACAAGGAGGCGGAAAAGGTACGGAGGGGTGAGCGGGGCCAGGGTACGTACCTCTTGGGTGTCTCCCCTCCCTGAGCTGGGAGAAGCTGGCATAGGTCCAGAGTTGTCTTCTCAGGAATGGGAGTGGCACCTGGACTTGGGCAGATCCACATGGCCTCAGACCATCAGATCTTTATGCCTCAGTTTCTTCAAATGTTCTTGTGGCTACTGTCCCCTCCCAGCATTATGAGAAGGTTTGTAGAAGGTGACACACAGTGTCTTAGTTAGAGTTACTATTGCTATGGTAAAGCACCACGATCAAAAGTGATCTGGGGAGGAAAGGCTGTATTTGGCATACGTTTCCACATCTGTAGTCTGCAACTGAAGGGAGTCAGAACAGGAACCCAAACAGGGCAGGGACCTGGAGGCAGGAGCTGATGCAGAGGCCATGGAGGGGGTTTTGTTACTGGCTTGCTCAGCCTGCTTTCGTATAGAATCCAGGAGCACCAGCCCAAGGATGGCCCCATCCACCATGAGCCCCCCCATCAGTGCTCTACAGCCCAATCTTATGGAGGGATTTTCTCAATTGGGGTTCCCTCCTCTCAGATGGCTCTAGCCTGTGTCAAGTTGACATAAAATTAGCCATCACACATGACAACACACAATGACACAAGAATAGAAAGAAGGCTGAGGAAGGAAGGATCAGAAGTCAGGACCCAGAATTGGGCATATAGCTCCGTTGGTAAAGTGCTTTCTGTGTGGACATGAGGACTTGAGTTTGGATCCTGAACCTAAAACCCCAGTGACACAGACGGTAGATCCCAAGGGCTTGCTGGCCAGCCAGTTTAGCCAAAATGGAGAACTCCAGGTTCAGATGTGTATACCCAAAATGGAGAACTCCAGGTTCAGATGTGTATACCCAAAGGCAGTCAGTGCCTTCTCACAGGCCTTCCAGGATCCTGTCGTTGCTGGTCAGTTTTCAGCTGTAGCCACCAGGGGGCAGTACCAGACAGCAACCTCCTGGGTCTGGACTCCGTGCCAAGTGATCTGTCCACCGTTCTTTACAACCGCATCAGAAGAAACTGTTCTTTTCTCAACGGGCTTTTGAAACACTGGACATCGTGTTCCTACAGACTTTAAAGTAATAACAACTGTCACGTATACCGTCATTCATTCTCTGTCACAACCCCACTTTGTGGGATTGTTTCCTTTTTACAAAACCTGAAGTGACTCACTGAGGCCGCACTGGGAGAAGCTGCACTGAGTGTCATTACTTAGGGTGATGTCCCCGACACCCTGCTTCCTTGGTGACCTCTCCCAGCCTGTTACCCTGGAGACACATTAACCAAGATTTAGCCGGCAACTATCCGCTGCAGTGTTGGGTGCCGTGTGGGTGATGTGAGGGTTCTGAGGGTTCTGAGGTCTACGGCACTGAGGCTAGGGTCCTGAGTGCACCACCGCACAGCTGTCCCCTCCAGTCCGTCCTTTCTTCTGCCCACAGTTCCGGAACCCCAAGGCGTCCCTGCGTGTACGGCTCTGTGACCTCCTAAGCCACCTGCAGCGGCGTGGGGAGCGGCACTGCCAGGAGTTTTACCGAGCACTGTACATCCATGCCCAGCCCCTGCACGGCCACCTGCCCAGCCGCTGTGCTGTTCGTAAGTGCTGCCCTGCATCCCTGCCTGCGGCCTCCACACGCACCAGAGAGGGCACTGACTGCGGGCAGCTGGAGGTCCCCAGTGCCTATCTGAGTCTGCAGCGGCCCAGCCTGGGCATCACTTCCCTCCCTGGTTCCTCCTCAGACACCACCCAGGGAGGTAGCACAGGCTGGCACATCCTTCTCCCTCCCTGCCGTTGCCCTCCCCGTGCCAGTTTTCACAAAGAAGCCAGCTCCCCATGTATCCTGCCTGCCTCCCCTTGCTTACCATGGCTGTGTCTTCATTTCTCAGTTCACGGCCCCGCTGCTCCTTGGTCATCCCAGCGGGGACTCACCAAGCCCACAGTAGACCAAAAGGCTGTGTCTGCGTTTTGTGTCCACCAGTCTGCTCGTGTGGGGTTTCTGTAGGCCTCCGTGGGTATAGACGTGGGTGGCTGGTGAGGGACAATGGGATCTCAGAGCCTGGGTGATAGGTAGGATCCAGAGGTCTGGGGTCACTGGAGCTGCTGGGACCCAGAGGTTCACAGTAAGGCAGAGTGGTGGCCCAATTCCACTGGGAAGAGGTTCTGCTGCTCCAGACAGAAGGCTGAGGTGACTCTGCCCACACGCTCAGCTGGGACTCTGGGCTGGTGTCTCTGATCCCAGACCGCACATGACACAGTCTGGACAGTGAGGACAGAGCGAGCAGGCGTTGTCCTTTGTCTCTTCACTGGACCCTTTAGAACCCAGCTGGATCCAAGTCACATCCCGACTAGAAATGAAACACCTTCCATGGTCCTTAGGTGCCCCAGGGTCCATGTGGCGTATCACCTGCCTGCTAACCCCGTGGGGAAGTCTAGGGAAAGTTCTAGGTTTTATGTTAACTTGTAGGTGTTTTGAAGAGCCTGAGTAGCAGGGAAGAGCCCCAGGGACTGGTGGCTAGCAGTTGGCTCTTGATAGTGGATATTTGTCCTGCATTTGATGACCTGTGGCAGACAGGACACACTGGCCACTCCACATCTACGATGTCACAGAAACTGGACCAAAGGAACCCCAAATTTATGCAATGTTGTCTGGAGAGCTGACCTCAGTATGTGACCAGCTGGGTCTGCCCAGGGCACCCAGGGCAGTGACCTTGAAGAACCTCGAGTGAGCCCAGCACCTTCAGGAGGCAGAGGCATTGCCTTGGGTCTCCCTTGGGGGACAGTCCCACCCTCAGCTCAGCCCTCTCCTAACCATGCTCTATAACTTTGTTTCCAGAAAACTCAGATTGCAGAGAGCTGGACTGGGGCAGCGAGAGCCGTGAGCTGAGTGACAGGGGTAACGCCCCCTCCACCTCCTTTCTCTTTCCCTTTTCCCTCAGGGCTCTGTCTGTGTCCCAGGGGCTTCTCCATCCCACACCACCGGGCTCTATTCCTGGCTCTCTGTTGGGGGACAGGACCCCTGTAGTACTCACCAACTGCTGCAGGCCACTCACACTCCTTTCTCCCCAGGCCCCATGAGCTTCCTGGCAGGCCTAGGCCTCGCAGCGGGCCTGGCCCTCCTCCTCTACTGCTGCCCTCCAGGTGAGCACAGGCCACCCCCAACGCCCTAAGCAGACTGTGGGACCTGGAGAGTGACAGCTCCTCACTGTCAGTGCTGTGGGCAGCCAGCAGGGAGCCCTGCCATGTCTGTCATCTTGGAGTCACCTCCTGTGGGACTTGGTCTCCCCTCCTGTAGTATCACAGGCCTTACGAGCCTAAGCCCACTGAGGCCTGCAGCTTGCAGTTAGCCTCGCCTTCTCTGTTTCCCCTGTCCGAGGTGCCTGAGTCTGTCATCAGGGAAGGCCCTGGGGATAAGCCAGGTATGGGCTTGTACAACCTTATCTACTGAAGAAGGCTTGGGGGTCACCCAGGTTGCAGCTAACGGGCTCTGGGTCAGACCCAGTTCTGACCTTTCATTCCCAAAGCGAAGACCACGTATGAGTAGGAGGTAGGGACAGGGCCACTGTCCAGCCTGCTGCAGCTCTGAGAACTGAGTTTCCCTTCATGCTGGTCCTTGGATTGTCATTTCTCCCTTGTCCTCTAGACCCCAAAGTGCTGCCGGGGACTCGTCGCATCCTTGCCTTCTCACCCATCATCATTGATAGGCATGTTAGCCGCTACCTGTTGGCCTTCCTGGCGGAGGACCTCAGAGGGTTCTGACAGACCCAGACTCTGCGCCTTACCTGCTGCTTAACCAAAGAATCCCCTGGATGCCTACTGTGGGGTCCATACCTTTTTTCTAAATACTTATTTTTCATTATTTATAATTTCTATGAGAATACATCACCTTCACTCTACAAGGTGCTTAATATTAAATGTTCCAACTGTCTCTGCCTGTCTCATGTCCTCTCTTGAGTGTGTGTGTGTGTGTGTTCATGTTCTTTTTTTTTTTTTTTTTTTTTTTGGTTTTTCGAGACAGGGTTTCTCTGTGGCCTTGGAGGCTGTCCTGGAACTCACTTGGTAGTCCAGGCTGGTCTCGAACTCACAGAGATCCGCCTGCCTCTGCCTCCCGAGTGCTGCTCCCAGCTTGTGTGTTCATGTTCTAACAGTGACTGTTTACCTAGGACTGGCCCACATGCTCCTAGCTTTGAGTCCAGTCTTGGCCCAGTGCCTCCCCCAGGTTCCCCCCACCATCTCCTGTCCCACCATTGTGTGCACCCCCATCATCCACCCACTGGAGATATCCCACACCAGCCCCGCCCCACACCCACCCTTCCCACTCTCTCCAGACACCATCATCGTTTTAGATCCCACACCAGCCCCGCCCCTTTACTGCATACGCTCCCCTGCACAGGCCCCTCACTTGCTGTATTTTAGCCTTCCTGGTTCTTCCTGCCTGGATGCCATTGGTGGTCTTGCTGTCCAGCCCACAGAGAATGGCAGTCCCTCTCCATGGCTGACTGAATCCCAGGCTTAGCCATTGGTGGTTGGGACAGTGGCTAGTACACGTTTAGGAGTGCCAGCACTCAGAAACACCATTTCCCTTGAAGCCTGGGAACGTGTGGACCTTTACCCTCACTTTTCTCTAGAGGGAGTGAGCCGTTGGCTGCTGCAAGGAAAAGGGAGATGGGCAGCAGGTCAGGTCTGAGCTCAGCCCACCCTGTCCTTTCCTGGGACTAAGGAAGCCTCACGGTCCTACCCTCCTCATGGTCTCTGCCCTCTGCCTGGTGGTCTCTGTCCAGCCACCAAGTCTTATCTCCACACCCTGTTCAGCCACCATGCCCTGGAAAGGGAAGTCCTAATGACTCGAGCTCAGATCTTATCCAATATCCACTCAGACGGCCACACATGGGCTGGAGACCAGGCCTCAACTGTGTGCGACACTATAGGAAACACAGTCCTTGTCACTGACTGAGAACAAGTGTTTCATTGAACCTTCTAGATGCTTTAGGGATGAAAAAAGTCATGGTACATTGAGGTCCTGGGCACTGGTGTCCAGCTACACCCAGCCCATCTGAGGCCGCATGAAATCAGGCAGAACTGCACACATCTGGTTGGGAGGGGTGGCTGCACACTCAGGTGGGTTCCATGACTCTTCCCACCCCTTCTGTGAGAGAAGTCAACAGTTAACAAGCCCAGCTGACCTTTTGTGAGCAGGCTCAGCCGAACTACTGAAGATGGTGGCGGTTTGGCTCAGAAGAGAATCCTGTACAGCAACATACATGCAAACTAACAAACGTGCACTATTCTGAGCGGACATACACACTCATGCTGTGTACATGTACATATTCACTCACGTGTATATTGTATGTACAGATACACAGGTCCATTTGCGTGTATACTCACAAGCAAGACACCGCACGCACCATGTGAGTCAGGGCACCTAACGGGCCTGGGTCAGGGTGCCTGAAGGGCTTGTTCTTGAGTGTTTCCCCAACCAGTTCCTCCCAATTGGGCTTTTTTGAGGAAACAACATTGTCAATTCACAGAGTCATCATGAGTCTGTGTTTTACACTGGTCTGTGTTTTCCACTGAGCTCCCAGAGTCACACGTGCTGTTTTGGAAGTTACCCAGGCAGGCTCAGGCTGAGATGAGGCGGGTATGGCCCCCAGGGAGAGGCTCACAGAGCATGTGAGGGCAGCAAACACAAAAGGACCCTGGCCCCACCCTGCTGACTGACTGACCCAGGCAAAGGTGAAGGAAGCTGTTTCTCCAGTGCCTTCCCATCTCCCGAGACACACAGTGTCCAGTTACCATCTTACCGCCCCACCTCAGAGCTGCAGGAGCAGGAAATGTGCTTACTAGTGTCCAAGCCTCAGTCTGAGCCCTGTAACGCAGGAGTCCTGCTCCGGGCGCCCATTTAGGAGCATGACTCCATGGACAAGTCCCCTGCTAAAGAATCACAGCCAGGCTGGGTGGTGGCGCATGCCTTTAGTCCCAGCACTTGGGAGGCAGAGGCAGGAGGATCTCTATGAGTTCGAGGCCAGTCTGGTCTACAGAGTGAGTACCAGGACAGGTTCCAAAGCTACACAGAGAAACCCTGTCTTGGGGCTAAAAAAAAGAATCGCGGCCGAAGAGTGTTGACCACTTTGTTGGAAGGTTGCCCAATACATGCATGACACAGTAAAGGTGACAGACACTTGGGTCAATTGTGTGGACAGGTCCTAGAAAGTGGAGGAGGGTCTCAAGGGGCACTGGCATCCTAGCTCTGTCAGTCAAAGGCTGGGAGGAATGGTGTCTGGGAAGGTCCTGGGCCTGGTTCCCATTTGACTCCACTGCTGATGTCCTTGTTTAGAGATGACTCACAGACCTATCTATCCTCTGTCTGTACAGGAGGGCAATACCCTAACATAGGCCTGCTAAGCCTCCCAGTATTGCTGGCTGTCTCCTTCTACCCATGACCTTCCAAGGGCCTACCCTAAGGCCCTTAGCCAGACAACCCCTGGACACAGGCTGTCCCTGAATGTCCCTCCAAGAGTGTCCTAGCCAACTGAACCCCATTCCATAGCTGAACTCAAAGCCCGTGGCTGAGGTTTTCTTTTTTTTTTTTTTTTTTTTTTTTTGGTTTTTCAAGACAGGGTTTCTCTGTGGCTTTGGAGGCTGTCCTGGAACTCGCTCTGTAGACCAGGCTGGTCTCGAACTCACAGAGATCCGCCTGCCTCTGCCTCCCGAGTGCTGGGATTAAAGGCGTGCGCCACCAACGCCCAGCTGTGGCTGAGGTTTTCAACATCCTGAATTTTGGCTGCTGCCTTCTGGTTCTCCTCTGGCTCTCCAGAGGACTTCTCCCTCAAGCTGTATCCCATGGAGGAGAGAGAACAGGAACTCCCTGCCTGGACCTCAGTATCCCCATTGGACTCTACCCTTCCTTCCAGCCGTCTTGTTGCCTGGGATGAATTAAGTCCACAAGGAGCAAGGGCTACAATTGGCCACTCACTCACCGATGCCCATTGCAACTCTGGTTGGTGTCCCGTGCCAGCACACCGGCGTTAGAGGTTCCTGTAAGGAATAAGCCGTTCTCTCTGTGGGCACCCTTTGCCATCCATCCTCCGACATATCCTTCGGGTCCTGGGTAGGGTGTCACTGACTTGGACACTCAAGTGAAAACAGGATCTGCGGGGTGGGTGGTCCCGGAAGGGAAGGGGGAGTGGGGGTAGTGGAGAGTGGAGGAGACCTCCCAGCACGAGGAGGGTGAGGTGAAGGAGCCAGTGGGGGGTTCTGGAGTAGAGTGGATACAATAGACAAAGTGCTGAGTACAGGTCAGTGGGGACACGGGGCACATGAGGGCCGAACCCAGAGATGCATCTGCATCTTACACAACCCACGCTGATGATTTGGGGGTACGCTGACTCTGCATTATTTCTAGTTCCTGCTGGGTCAGCATTGTGGGCTAAGCCACCTCCCTTTTGCAGATGGCTTGTGTGGCCCTGCCAAGGTCCCCTAGCCACAAGTCCAATCAGCCACAGACCATGGCTCACTTGGGTGGTCCTGGGCACTTACCCTCTTCTAGAGTGGATGAGGATCTGGGACAGGTATGCCTGTTGTACTTCCCAGTGACTTCAGCACGAAGGGCACTCAGGGAGATGGAAAACTGAGGGACACTGTTCTGTCCCGTCACTGCTCAGTTCTCAGTCTCTCACCTACATGGCGGGTGAGAGAATGGGGGCCATTTACACAACAGGAGGGTATGCATGCTGTGGCCTAGCTCCAGGAGGTGCTGATTAAATCACCATAGGCCCCCTCCCAAGGTTGGTTTTTTTTTTTTTTTTGCATGGTGTTTTTTTGTTTGTTTTTTGTTTTTTTGTTTTTTTTTGTTTTTGTTTTTTGCATTTTGAGACAGGCCTCCCTGTGTAGGCCTGGAATTTGCTATGTACTCCAGGTTGGTCTTGAACTCACAGAGAGCTGTCTGTCTCTGCCTCCCAAGTAGAGGGATCGAAGGTGTGTGCCACCACTGCCTGTCCTTAATCTAACACCACATTAAGATTCGGGTGCTCTCTTGCAGAAGATTCGGGATATCAAAGGGAATCTTCGTGAGGTTGTTTCAGGGATCCTCACATCCCGCTTTGTAGCTGACATGGCAGGTTCCATGGTGTGATGGAGGGTTACTCCGGCCTGAGCGGGGGCAGTGCACCCACTGGCAGAAGGACCCAGCTGGAGTCCTTCCTGGAGCCCCTCCCAGATCAGTGGCACTGGAGCCAGTGTTTCCCGGAAACTAGCAACAGAAAGCCAGGAAAGCAGGGCAGCAGGAAAACAGAATTGCACCCCCAGTGAAATCAGGAGGGAGGAGAAGGTTTCTGGGAAGTAGGACGGGGGTAAGTGAGTGTCACAGGTGCGGAGAGGAGACACCTGTCGTCCAGCTACCCAGGACCACCTCAGCGTGTAGGAACAGATGCCAGTTCCTCTGCCCACAGCGGTTCTTAAAGGACACGCGGTAAGGACAAAAGTGCTACAGCTACAGCTGTGAACCTAGTGATGCCTAGACACAGCCAGCGTCTGCCACTGGCCCTGCAGGGCAGAGGACTGGGCCAGACCAAGGCTCCATCAACAAGAGAAGCAAGGGAGCTGGGGAGACGCTCAGCTGTGCAAGCATAAGGACCCCATCCCAACGCCCCATGCAAAGCTTGGCATGGCCCTGTGTGCCTATGATTCTAGTGCCCAGGAGGTGGAGACAGCAGGATCCCTGGAGCTTGCTGGCCAGGCAGTCTAAAAGAATCAGTGAGTCCCGGGATCACCGAGGAACTCTGTTTCAAAAAATAAGGAGAGTGGTTGAAGAAGACATCCGATGTTGACCTCTGACCTCCATGTGCAGGTGTGTGCTCACAAGGGTGCACACGTTCATGCACACACACAGAGTCACACACACACACACACACACGTAGAGTAAAAAGCTCAGAACTGGGTATCACCATTTTCCCTGCTGCAGCAGAGCTCCCTGGCCCTCAGAGACCCAGAGGCAGGACTCTATGCTAGTGTGCCAGGTTAAGTGCTGGGGGGGCAGTTGGCAGGGTGTGAGGGAGCCATCTGAAGACGGACCTGTGGGGAACAGGAAGCACACACCAAGGGACGGGGCTGGGGGACAGGGACACACCCACCGGGTGATGCGTGTTGGGGGACATCAGGAGATCAGGTTGTGAGGGATCCTCTTCTGGCCACGGGCATCAAGGGGGTCAAAGGTCAGCTCCGAGCACAGCACAGGTCCATGGTGGAGAGGGCTACATGCTCACTGTGAGCTACCCAGGCCAGGGAATCTGGCTTGGGTGACAGCCTAGCCTCAGTGACAGCACTTCAGAGCCCCTTAGCCCCATCTGGGGGTTTCCTCTTTTGATGAAGGAACTAAACCATGTGTTGGTCAGCAACCGACGGCTGAGTCCAGGCACGCAGGTGGCTGCTGGCCAGTCCACATGTTGGAGGGCACGCTAGGGACAGTGCCGGAAAGTATGGCCCTAAGCCAGGTCTGGTCGGACCCAGGCCATCTGTCCGGGGCTCTGCTGTCTACACTTGGCAATCCTTTTCTTTGTGTGCCCCAGTTTTGAGTTTAAGTTCTGGTCTCAATCAACCCTCTTGCCTCAGCTTCTCGAGCAGTTGTGAGTATAGACATGTACCTCTGCACCCAGATTTTCTCCAGGACCTTTTTTTTTTTTTTTTAAGACAGGGTTTCCTGTAGCCCAAGCTAACCTCAAACTTACTAAGTAACTGAGGATATAACCTTGGACTTCTGATTTTCCTGCTTCCATTATAGGCGTGCGTCATAACACTGTTTTTCCTGGAGTATTTAAAAGGAATTTGACCATTTCCCCCGTAAGTGCTTTCTCTCATCCATCACTTAGGGTACCTGACTGATCAGCTGCACCTAAGTTTGTGGGGGCTTCTGGGATGTCTTGGAGGTTTACTGCTCATATAGGTGAGGGTGGACAGGAAGTGGGGGTTTTGAGGGAAGCCCTGGGCCCTCACTCTGAACTGGGAAGGATGCTTAGAGAGGGCAGAGGCTGGCTGGAGGGGCCAGGTATGGGTGGGGTCTTACGCCTCGGAGCACAGGGCCAATGTGAGGGATGTGGGATGGATGGAGAGCTGGGGCTGGGAGGTACAGTGAGTAGAGCAGAGGAGAGGAGGGGAGAGGAGGGAAGGGGAGGGGAGGGGAGAGGAGAGGAGAGGAGGGGAGGGGAGAGGAGAGGAGAGGGAAGGGAAGGGGAGAGGAGGGGAGGAGAGAGAGGAGGGGAGAGGAGGGTCTGGGAGCCAGCTTCCCCCGGTCTGCTGGGTGAGGGAGACCTCTAGGTAAGACAGACTCACAGGCCATCTCCTCCCAAGGAGAGGATCCCTGCCGACTATGGGCAGTGTTGGATGCCACTTTGGAGGTGTCCAGCAGTCTGTACAGAGCTGTGTCTAAGTGCCAGCTTGAGGTGGGGCAGCATCAAACTGAGTGCTAAAGTGAGTAGGGAGCACATGTGACCCCGTGGAGGCCACCGTTGGCAACTACAGACAGGAACAGGGCTGTTTACAGGCTCGCACACACTGCCTTTCCCCAGCATAGCACAGCACAGCCAGAGACAGCCTCAAAGATGCCAGTTAAACACGTGGGCAGCCATGGTGCATCCCCAGGTACCTAGGTGACCCATCCTCGAGCTCCTTCACTTGAGCAGGCCTGAGGGACAACCCCTGAACTTGGAGAGGTAATAGGGGGCATGTGGAGTCCTAAGTAGGGTTTGTCTTAATTTGCTATAAAGGAGGCAGACCCTGGGCATGGGTCTGAGGTCTGCAGTGCACAGTCATTGGGTGCATCAGGCTGATGTGCAGTTCTGGGAAGGCCAGTAATTCCTGGTACTTGGCATCCCAACACTGGGCAGTCTGAGTGCATAGAGTTGCAGTATCCTTCCAGCCTTGTACCCAGGGGGCTAACACACTCCAATCTCTAATCATGCAGCAGCTGGGGCCCATGCACCTGTATTTCTCCCAAATCCTGAGGAGGCCAGCGGTGCAGGCTGTAGAACAGCACAGCATATCCCTGGTAAGATGTTCAGTGTGTGTGGGAGTTCTATGACTATTCTTGCATTTTGCCTGTGAACCTGTAACAGTGGTCATGCCCTTTGGGCGTGGTTGCAGATGAGGATGTGACCCATTTAAGGCAGAGGAGCAAGGGAAGGAAGCCCCTTGAGTCATAGAGAGCATTGGAGAGGCAGAGTCTACATCCTTCGAGCAAGAACACTGCAACAATTTCTTACTGTTACCTGTGTAAGTTTATCCCAATAAACACCTATTTTTCATTCACCTTGAGTTTAGCGAACTGATTAATTCCTTGACTTAGTGTGTGTGTGTGTGTGTGTCTATGTGTGTATGCGCATACGTATGCACATGCAATATATACGCATGGCATTGTGTGACATGCATGTATAGAAGCCAGAGGTCAAAGCCAGGTGTTACTTCTAGCTGGCTAGCCAGGGAACAACAGGGCTCCTCCTGTCACCTCACCTTCCACCCCAGCACACACCACTGCACCATAGGTGCTGGGGATTTGAACTTGGGTCCTCATGCTTATGCAGTAAGACTTTACCACTGAGCCATCTTGCCAGTCTCTCTCAAAACTTCTCTGGGCATAAAAGCTGTTGAGCCTTAGATCCCAACTTTTGCCTCAAAACCTACCCTTAGATAAAGGGAAGACTGAGAGTTCAATCAGGTATTCCAAAGAGGACAGATTCCCTGGCTAGCATGTGCCGATGCCCCTGCAGGGAGGGGCGGGGGCTGTCTGGGAGTGGAGGGTGGCACATGGAACCCAGCAGAGAAGCACATAAGCTTTATTGTCATTCCTGATTAGAAAAGTGGGCCCTAAACCCCTGAGTAGGGGGCTAGGGCTTGTCCCAGGTCACTGCTTGTAGAAGGTCCAGCGTGACCTGTAGCCTCCATGGGCATGGCTGCCTCTTCATGGCTGCCAAGCCCAGGCACTGAGGCTGGAGCCAGTGGCCACTACTGGAGCTGACAGGTACTGATGGTTGTCCAAGGCCCCTGGGTTAAGAAACAGCAGAGGCAGCAATCTCCAGGGTGACCTGTGCAGGCTCCATGGGAAACAGGGACACTGATGCATTAGCATAGGGAGCAGCATATTCTGGTCCTTCTGGAATGTCCTGAGACAGAGGCCAGTGCTGGCCCCCGTAGAGCCCAATCATGGACTTGCTGCATGTCCTTGGGCGGGCAGTGACCATCCTCTGGGCATGGGTTTCTGTGGGGCTGTCCAGTTCTAATCTTCATGACCTTGCATCCAGTTCCCACATGCCTTGGTCACAGCTGGATGGAAGTCCATCCCTGACCATGGTCCATCAGTGGCCAGCTTGGGCTTTGGTGGTTTAGGGGAGTGCTGCACACAAGGAGAGAGATGCCTGGAGGGCATGGCAGTTGCAGGGTCTGGACAGCTGAGCTGTGAGTCAGATAACTTTAAGGACTCTGGAAAGACAAAAAGAGAGGCATGAGTACCACTAGGCCAACTAGCCAGCCTCAGGCTGGAGGGGCGCTGAGTCCATGCCAGTGACCAGCTCGTGAGCATCAGGGCTTCCCAGTCTTCGGTGTAAGGATTTGTCTGTCATGGACAAGGTGCTGCAGTCCCTTTCACACTGAATAAAATATTCCTGGCTCTCTGTCCGGTCCATCATGGTGGCAAGAGCCAGTCGGTAGTGGCCATGGCCACTCACCTAGCAAAAGCCACCATTTCAGCTGTCGGCAGCCGCAGATGGTGCCATCACCAAATAGTTGAAGCCTCTGGAGTCAACGCTGGAGACACCCATGGAAAGTAGAGGTCAGAGGGACTGGGGTTATGTTCACACAAGCCCTGGTACCCTCTTCCTGCCAGATGACCTGCATACTCAGGAAGCATCAAGGGCCACATCCAGGTGACCAATAAGTGGCCTGGTTACGCCACATGAGGAGATTAGCCAGTCCAGAACCCACCACACCTTACAAGCCTCCCATAGTGGTGACAGCGACAGGTCTCTGCCTCCCTTACCAACTCACCTGGGTGTCCTACTGCCGGGGTGCCACGTCCATTATAGGTTTCTGGACCCCAAAGGCCGTGATGAAGATGTTGACCACCACGATGATGAATACCAGTCCTGTGGCCAGGTTGTTAAGGAAGTCCAGCTTGGCATGCTTGGCTGGGTTGTTAAGGTCGTACTTGACTGTGGGAGAGAGGGGGTAGATGCTGCCCAGGGACGCCTGGACTGGATGAAGTGTCTAGGGAGTGTGCTGAGCAGACCGTATAGGGTTCTTGGCCGTGTTTAGTGTTTTGTTCCCATTGAAAAGTTGCCTGTTTTGCTAAAATTAGGCATGGGTGTCTCTACCTTCTATATTCTTACTTTCTCCATGAGGAAAACAAGCCCAGGTAGGTTATGTGCTAACGTCACATCTGGATGCCACCAGGCCAGGTTTCATTTCAAAGGCAAAAGCACTGACCTCCTCAAGAGCCTCAGTGTATGGACCCTCTGACCTACCTTAGACTCTGATACTATACTCATTTCACTGGTGCAGTCCATGAAGCACCGAGGTCACATTGCCAGAAAGCAAATCTGTGCCCTCCCTGTTCCTGATGACATTTTGTGCTCTGGACAGGCACCAAGGTTGCCCTGTCAATCCTAGCTCCCTTTCCTATCTGCTGTCCATCTGTGCCTACCAAAGGAAGTGGGTCATCTGCTGAGGGGACATTCAGTGATTAAGCTTGGGAACTAGTAGTTATATGCTACATTTTAGATTTTCACTCAGAACAAGAAGGAAGAGTTGGACGTCCTGTCATAGAGACAGTGGTCCAGGTCCAAGGTCACCTTCTGGGCCCAGCACCATCTTATCTCTGGAACTATGGGAGACTCCTCTTTACCTCCTGCCCCAGCGTCCCCCTTCACCTCCCAAATCAGAGTCCCCGCATCATATCTTGGCCCAAGGCCTCCTCCTTGCTCCCCAGGTAAGGGTCTCGGTCTCCTGTGGCACTTGGCTGCTCTTCGTTACTGGACACAGGCAGCGAGCCAGGTCTGAGCTGGTCTGAGCTGGTCTGAGCTGGTCTGAGCTGGTCTGAGCAGGGAGGACTGGCTGGCAGAAGCTATATCTTGTGGCAGGGAGTCACAGGGACCCAAGGAAGCAGGTACCCCACCCCTGCTTCCCCTACACTACTCCACCTTCAAGAACCTGAGAAACATAAGCTTACTCTGCTTTCAAAGGCAGGGTCAGAGGGGAGGAGTCACAGCCTGGACCACAAGCCTGGCAAGCTGAAGGCCAAGTATTGAGGTGGAACCACTACCCCATCCACCCCTGGGCATCTCCCTACCCATCCTTGGGGCTGTGTGAGCAGCCACAGGCCTTACCCAAGAAGATGAGCAGCACACCCACTCCAATCTGCAGCACGAGAGAGATGGAGATGAGGACCACAAGAGGCACGAAGAAGGCAAAGTCGTGGCCCTGTTCCACCACGGCCTTCAGCTGTGACGCGTTGGCCATGAGCAGTGCGATGTCTAGCATACTCTCCGCTGCACTCTTCTTGTTGGCGTAATGGTTTACATTGATGGGCCGGTTCCTCCAACCCCAGCGGGCTGGCTGTGGGGAGCAAGGTGGTCAGTTCGCTGGGGTGAACTTGGGACTTTGGGGAGAGCTACAGAGAGAGGTCAGGAAGGGGTTCTGGGTCTCCCTGGGGTTGCAGGGAGTTGCCAAGGCCCCTGCAGGCAGGGCTTCTGACACCCCAACCTGGCAAGTGCTTGTTATCTGAGGACATTTCCTGGAGTAAAGTTCTGGAGTGAAGGAAGCCAGAACACCATCCTCAGCTCACACCCTGGCCTCCAGCGGAGAAAGGACCATGGCCCTCACCGTCCTGTGCAGCAGGTAGTCCTCCTCGCCTGCAAACCCTCCCCTCCCCCAGAGTCGAGGTTCCTGCCTGGTATCAAGAGTGGGAGTATACAGGCTCCTGCATGCTGCCTGGGCTTGAACTACCCTTGCCCGGGCCGAGCCCAGAAGTTTGGGGAACCCCTGCCTTGGCTCACCTCCCAGGCCCAGCCCCACCCCGCTCAGTCCGACCTCACACACAGACAGCACCCCAGCTTCAGCATCACCCTACAGGATGGTCTGGTCACACTGTTTAGCGACAGCTTCTCATGGACATGGGGCACCAAGGGCACACAGCAGGTGCTCACTAGATGCCCCACCATCCCTCATGCCGTAGAGCAGGACGTCTGTCTCCTGAATTTTCATAGTAATGACAGAGATACAGTTCCGAGCTCCTTTCAGGTAGGCAGCCCTTGGTGGCATCCTCTCTTTTCTTAGGACTAGTCCCAGCCCCTGCCCCTCCCTGGAGGCCACTTCCCAGGTCACCTGCCACCTCTCTTACATTGCCAGTCACAAGGGACCCTGTAGGTTTCTCTCCACCCTCAGGGGCTTCCCTTTCCAGACATCCCCATGCTCTGAGATTCTCTCTGGAGGCCCCTGCTCCCAGGACACCTCCCCTGATCTCCGTGGTAGGACCTGGCCCCCTCCTGTCACTAGAGGTCACCTCTCTGGCTGGCTTGCTTCATTCTAAGGTAACTTTAAGTGGCTGGTTTTCTCTCTCCACTGAGCCAGTCGGCTCTCTCAAGAGGCCCTGGTCGGGCCCCTTCTCAGCTACCTAGGACAATCTCACCAGACCTAGGCACTGTCCTTTGTCCACTGCTGCCTCTGAGCCATCAAGCCCTGCATCGCAGCCTCCAGGGAGTGGGCACAGAGCTGAAAGGAGGCCAGGGCCGCTGTTGGCAGCCAGCCATCTGGGGCCACCCTGAGAGATCCTGTTTCTAGACTCATAAAAGATGCAGGGAACGGAGGCAGCGCTGTGGGGACCACGTCCGCTGCACTCAGGTGACTATTTTCTTGCAGGCTGGAAAGCCCAAAGCAGGTGACACTGAACTGACGGCGTGTAGGCCTTCACTTGGACACCGTGTGTATCTTTTTTGTTTTGTTTTTGTTTTGCGAGACAGGGTTTCTCTGTGACTTTGGAGGCTGTCCTGGAACTCGCTGTTGTAGACCAGGCTGGTCTCGAACTCACAGAGATCCGCCTGCCTCTGCGTCCAAAGCGCTGGGATTAAAGGCGTGCACCACCACCGCCTGGCCACTGTGTGTATCTTTAACCTGAGGTTTCCTCTGAAGTCAAGAGGGAAGGCAGTGTGGGTGGTGGGAGGCACAGGTGGGCTCTGCTGCCTGAACCTGGGCTGGAACACACAGACTCCCTGCTTTTACGTGAGCTGCACTTTAAGTAGCGAGCTCCCTTCAGTCAAAATTCTCAACACATGAGCACATTCCTCACATGTGAGTGTGTGTATGGGTATTTGTGTATAATTTTATGTGTATATGCAGTATTGCATTGTAGAAGCTTACAAATGCATGAATGTACATAGGTATGCACATGGGCTCAAAGCACTGTGTGTGTGTGTGTGTGTGTGTGTGCAAGCCCATGTATCACATAACACATACATGTAAGTATCTTCACATAAACACAAACAGATAAATGTGTACACATGTATGCATACATACATAAACACAGGAAGTGGAACTTTTGATAGCTTAGTTGGTGGAGCAGAGAACTCCACCAGAGAACAGATGAAGCAATAAACAGCCCCAGGCTAAGCTTGCTGGCTGCTGGGCAGCAGGAAGAATTTCTTTTGATTCTGAACCATTTAAATGCTTCGTGACCGCATGGTCACAAGGAACAGACACATGAATGAACTGTCTCACGTCCTAACCTAACCCTTGGCTCTCAGTGCTCCCAGTCACAAATGCCTATGCCCCTGCTGCCTTCCCTGGAGGGGCAAACAGGCTCTGCACTGGAAGTTCCTTTCCAAAGCCACACAGCAAGTGGGGGACAGGCTACAATTTGAACTCACTATTTGGGGCTCAGAGCTCGGGCAGCTGAGACTCTAAGGGGATCATTCTTAAGGGGCTCTCTGTCTGGTTCAGGACAGCTAGTCTTGCTCAGTCTGTCTTGCACATGCCACAGGGTTTGTGGACATCATACCCTGAGATGGCTCAGAGCCCTTGGGACCAACAGAGGCTGCAGCCCATGGGCCATCTGGTTCCCTCTCACCTGCCCCAGGAGAGGCCCAAAGGCAAAGCAGGCCTTTGCATGGTGTTAAACTCCACCTCCCACAGCCTGACTCTGTGCCCTCCCCATGCTGCAGGTCTCCCACCTTTATCTGGGGACACCCTCTGGGAAACCTGTCTGCCACTGAGTAATGGGACACTACTCTCCATTGGGAATCAGGAGACGGGGTCTCAGGGGACCTCATAGGATACCTCCAGGGAGAAGTAGACCCAAATTCAAACCCAGGATGTGAGCTCCACACCCAGGACTGCACCTGCACACACCATTGGTGTCCTCCCTGCAGGAGACTCTGGGGCTTCATGCAACTAAGGAGGGTCTACTCCTGGGGTCTGATCCTGACTCGCGCTGGTGACTGCCACACAGGCCTCTCCCAGGATATACAGTGGATGGATCACCCAACCACAGATCAGGGAGCCCTGTGGGCCGAACTAGCTGCCTGAGCATGCTGGGAAACCCTTCCATGCCTGTACCAGTAACCTGGGCAGATTGAGGAGAAAACACACTGGTTAATATGTCCCAGGGCTGGCAGGAGTTCCTTGGAACCTCAGCAGCAGTTGGGAACTGACATGAAGTAGGCTGTTTGCCTCTAAACTCCAAGAAGGAACACTGTGAAGTAGTTAGCACATGCAGGGAGCTGCACTTGGGAGGGCCTGGTCATGTGGCCTAGGGCCACCCAATTGCTCATGGCTGAGGTGGGAGGGCACCCAAGGGCTGGCTTCGTTATAGCACAATGGGTGCTATGGACCACCCAAAGCCATCAGTTTGACTCACAGAGCAGGGTACCATCCTTTAAACACACCCTGCCATTCCCAATCTTATCACACCAATGGTCAACAGGGTGACTGCTTATCAGTAAAACAGAGAGGAAAATTCAGGGGATTTTATACTACAGTTTCAAAGGTCCATGACCTTTTGGACATGCTACATTAAATGGCAGCACCAGGATATACCTTTGCTCAGTGTCTGGCTCTCCCTAGTGACAGACTTGACTTTAGTCAAGGAGCAATACCAGTATATGAACAAAAACAGAAAAAAGGAAAAGAAAGGCCAGGCCAGGCACACAGGCCCTCCATGAGGCCAAGATATTGTTCTAAGTGACCCAGAGGTCCAAGTCTAGGCAGAAGCTGAATAACCCCAACTTGGACTGCTCAGAGACCTTGTCACACACCAGTAGACAGTGGGGGTTACTGGGGCATAGGGGTAGGAGCTGAGGGCCCACTCCTAGGGTAGATCCAGCAGGAAGTTGCCTGTCCCTGTCTGAATCTAAAGCCTTCTGCACCCCCAGGCTACAATGCCCTTGTCCAGGGAGCCTAAGAAGCAAAACTGAAGTGTCTCCTGGTTCCACATATGCATTCCAGGCGGAAACCCCAGTGAGGCAACAGGAAGCATGGGAGGCGGGGTCCCCACAGCAGACTCACTTCCTGCGGCTCAGAACTGACCAGGAGTGACCCTGAGGCCCACGAGGGTGGCCTTTAGAACTTGGCTGAGATCCTGACTGTCCTGGGATCTGCCAGGCAAGCAGAAATGAGAAAATAGGAAGTTTCTCCTAGCAGCTGAGGCTGGGCAGAGGGGATGGCAGTGTGCAGGGCACAATGTCCTGGTTTGAAGACCTAAGATACGGCCATTGATACCTCAGTCTGAGTTCCATGAGGGCAAGAGAGCAGGACAGGCACCGAGGGTTACGGCCCAGCTCCATCTAAGCCACTTCCCTCCGCAGTCTCTAGATGAAGCTGCCCCCAGCATCATGGCATGGGCACGGCATTTCCACACTGAACCGGTGTTTACTGTTTCTCAGCTGCCAGTGAGCTAACTCACAAAAACTGCCTCGGTCTGGATATTAACGAGGCCTTTAGGTAATTGACTCTGGGGAACCTAGCATCTGGAGGGGCATGGGCAGAGCTGTCCTAGTGCTGTACTAAAGAGGACACCAGCAGGCCAGCTCTGCTGAGCCTCAGTCACCTGGGAGGTTGTGGCACCCCTTTTCTCAGAGGGGAAACCGACTTTCCCTTGGGGTTCCATCCTGGGGACAGTGGGTGTCACCATGAGAGTGTCCTATAGCTAACACCACCACATACTGTACTCTGCTGCAAGCATTTCCTTTGCATCAGCCACACAGTTTTTACTTAGCAGAAGCAGTTACCAAGGCATGTCATAGATGATAAACTGAGGCACAGAGTGCTGCCATGCTACAGGAAGTTGGAGGCATGATCCTGAGGTTGGGAAGGGGGACAGGATTGAGCAGGGCAGTCTTCAAGGCTGGCCACACCTCAGGGAAGCATCCTGTCCCCAATGACCCTAGACAAAACCTCCTACCCAGCTCTGTAGGTTCTCAGTAATCCAGCCTCCGGTCTCCACTTGTACTGTTCCCTGTGCCTGGGTGTTCCTCCACTCAACCAGAGGGCCAGATCTGTGTTCCTCAGCAAGCCGATGCTTCCCTGGCCTCTATGCTCCCTACCAACCACCAAGGCAGGCCACCCTCCACGCCCTGAAGAAGCCTACTTTGTAGCATTCATTCTCTCTCCTGTGTTCTTCAAAGAAATGGTGGGGGATGTATCTCCCTCTCTCTTGCTCCCTGAGTACTCGACCCTATCTCGCCTGTGTATATGTTCAGACCTCCCTTGGGAGGCACAGCTCGTCTCGCTATTTGCAGAGCTGAGCAGATATAGCACTGACGGGAAGGCACAGCGAGGCATGGCCAAGGACTGGAGACAGGCAGAGTTCTCCTTCGGACCAGCTTCTAAGCCATCTGTCCGCCAGCTCCTGATCTGCATGCATCCCTGTCCTTACAGGCAGAGGGAGACCACTGCTCTTCCGTTTAGAACCAATGTCATAAAAAAGGCCCAGAGAGATGGAGCGGCCCCCTCCCCAAGAACACAGCCAGAGTGTTCCTTGCCCACTGCTTCCAGAGTGTTCACAGATTTCGGCAGAACCCGCAGGTCTCAGCTGGCACACCTGAACAAGTCCCGAGGCTCTTCTAGTCCTGTTTTCTCCTCTCATCCAGGGACAGATGTCTATGCTCCTCTGGTCCCTCCTCCCTGAACAACCCTGTTCCCACGGTATGGGCCTGAGCCTGGGCAGAAAGTCTCTGTTCTAGTCTATTTTGCACCATAGGGACTTGTGGAAAATCCCAGCCTGGTGCAACTTCCCCGCCCCCACCCTGGGGGGTGTCGGAAAAAGAAGGAATGTCCAAAGTCAACAAGTCACAGAGGGCCATGCAGGGTGGTACCAGTGAAGGCCGGGTCCTGGCATGCTCAGGCTCCGCCCTGGAGGTCGACTGTGGGGTGAGGAAGGGTGATTCCTCAACATGGGCATCGGACCACTGCTGTGGCCTTGGCGAAGCAAACCCTGGGCAGGTCCTTTCAGTCCCAGAGTAGACACCCTGAACCCTGAGTTCTGTTTTCCATAGGCAGGTGACCGCAGCAGGGTCACAGCTTCGGGTTTCCCCTATTAGTGCTGCATGCGACCGTGTGGTCACCATGTGGTGACGTAGCTGTCTGTCTGGCGCTGGCCTCCAACCAGGAGGCGGTGACTCCTCTCCCGCCCACCCCAAGGCACGCACGCCGGACGAGACAGCTCGGACGCGCTGGAAGTTGGAGGGCGGTGTGGGAGGCAGGAGAGTCCGGGAGAGCGGGATGCCAGCCTCCTCCACCCGAGGAGTGGTGCGGGCTCTGCACAGCGGGACGACGGCAGAATGCTAGACCGCCTGGCGCCTCTGCCCACCTGCTGTGCTGGCCCCAGACTCACCACTTGCGCTCGGAACAGGTCAAGCACGACTTTGTCCGAAAGCAGCGGCCACCACCACCATCCCGCAGTGCGGACGCCGCGCGCTCCGGGCCCGACACCCACAGGTGCCAGCTGCTGAGTCGGGCCCAGACAGGGTGGCGCTGGCCAAGGTCACACAACGGCCGGGGCAGGGGGTGCTGAGGTCTTACCGAGGCGTCGGGGGAACCGGGGGAGCCCGGGCGCAGGTCGCCGTTGAGCTCATACTCCTCGGTACCCGACTCCATGGTGCGGCCACCTGGGCCGCCGAGCACACGGCCTAAGCTCGCCCGCGCCTCCGCCGCGGGCTAGGATTGTGCGCCCGCCCCCGGGCCCGCCCCCGACACGCCCCCGGCCCTCACCCAACTCGCAGCTGCTCCCAGACTCCGCCTTCACCCGGGGCGGGCCCGGGCCTAGAGGCCGGATACTGGGATAGCCACGGTCCAGGATAACCCCTCTCGGGTCTTTATGACCTCAATTCCCAGGCTCCTCGTGGATGGCTGGGCCAGGTAACCCGGCACCTGTACTCGCGATGGCATCGGAGGGTCCCCAGGGACCCCGTCTGAACGCCGCTGATCAAGCGGGCCCCCCTTTGAGCTTTGAACGTGAGCATTTAATCTTTATAAGGTGAGGCCAGGGGAGTGCCCGTTGCTACACCCTGGTGAGGTTTTCCCCTGCGCAGGGCGCACTCTGAGGCTGTAAACCCAGTGCCTGCTAAGCACTCCACCCAGAAAAAGGGTATCAACTTTTACTCTGGACCACCTTGTCACGTGGCTTTCCACTCTAGGGCCCTCAGCTTGTTTTTTTTTTTTTTTTTTTTGGCCTGGAGCATGGAGATACGAATGAGGGCCTCCTGCACATTCTAGAGGCTGGAGGGAAGCAGAGGCGTTCGGTAATATAGCAGCTTCAGTATCCAGAGGGAGCTGGCATCATGGCCCTGCCTGGACCGGGCACTGTGTACTCCCAAAGGTAGAAGGAGCCGTTTGACTACTGCACGTGCCCTGAGAACTCTCCTAGCCTAGGAAGCCAGGAGTAAGCCGACCATGGGACTCTTGGGAAGATTAGGTGGGCCCAGAACTGGCATTCTGTGACTCTCTCTATGCACCATATCTCCAGTTTGTGTGGAAGCATAAGGCGGGAGTTTGCTCAAGGCCAAGTACGCCTGTTTGTCGTGCTGCGCTCTCTCTCTGTCTCCGTCCGTCCGTCCATCCGTCTGTCCCTCCTTCTCTCCCTCCCTCCCTCTCTCTCTCTCTCTCTCTCTCTGCATGGTGGCTCACAACCACCTTGAATGAGATCTGGTGCCCTCCACTGGTGTGCAGGCAAAAGACTGTATACACAATAAATCAATAAAATGTTTTTTTAAAAAGGAAAAGAAATGCTTTCCTAAGCCAGGCATTGGTGGCACACGCCTTTAATCCCAGCCCTTGGGAGGCAGAGACAGGTGAATCTCTGTGAGTTTGAGGCCCCAGCCTGGTCTACAGAACGAGTTCCAGGACAGGCCCCAAAGCAGTACAGAAAAAGCCTGTCTCAGAAAACAAAACAAAAAAGAAAAGGAAAAGGAAAAAGAAATGGTGTTCTGGCTTGTGGTAGTATTCTTGAGGCAGAGGAAAATGAATCTCTGTTGAGTTTGAGACCAGCCTGGTCTACAGAGTGAGTTCCGGGACAGCTAGGGCTACATAGAGAAACCCTGTCTCGAAAAACCATGAAAAGAAACAGTGTTTGTGCTGGAGAGATGGATCAGTAGTTAAAAGCGCTGGCTGCTCTTCCAGAGTTTGATTCCCAGCACACACATGGCAGCTCACAACCATCTCTAACTCCTGTTCCGAGAGATCCAACACCCTCTTCTGGCTTCTGTGGGTACCAGATACACATGTGGAGCACAGACATACAGGCAGGAAAAACACCATCCACATAAGATAACATTTTAAAAAGTATTTAGGAAGGAAGGAAGGAAGGAAGGAACTGTTGCAGGTGTGGTGGAAGCCTACCCTGTGGAGCAGGTGGACAGTCAGACACTAAGAGGAAAGGTCTTTGTGACGCCCGGTGCCATTACTTCTTAAGAACAGGCCCAAGAGGTGAGGAGGACTAGACAGATGGCTCAGCCTTTAAAAGCCTGCAGAGGATGTTTGGTCTCCAGCACCACATTGGATGGCTCACAAACACCTGTAACTCCAACTCCAAGGGGTTCAACACCTTCTTTTGTGCATGCTTTGATGTGCAATGTATCTGTTTATTTATTTAATAAATAGCAAGTATTTAACAATTTATTTACTTTTTTTGGATACAGGGTCTCATTATGTAGCTCTGTCAATCCTGAAACACACAATTGTCTATCAGGCTGACCTCAGACTCATAGAGATCAACCTGCCTCCTGAGTGCTGGCATTAAACACATGAGCCACCATGCTCAGCATGACTTCCTACATACATACATACATACATACATACATACATACATACAAGGCTTCAGAGACAACTCAGTTGGGGAAGTGATTGCTTCAAGTGTGAGGATCTGATTTTGATCCCCAGAATCCACCTAAAATGCCTGGCACTCTGGTGTGTTTGTAATTGTAGTGATGGCAAGATCGGAGCAGAGAAACAGGTGTATCCCTGGAGCTCATGGCCAGCTAGCCTAGCCTTCTTGATGGATTCCCAGGCAAATGAGAGACCCTGTCTCAAACAAAAGGTATACAGTACCTGAGAAATGGCACCCAAACTTATCTTTTGACATCTTCATACATGAACATCTGTATACACACAAGAACAGCCCTGGGAAGTAGGTATACTTCCTCCACACCTAGGAAAGGCTCAGTCAAGAGCTCTCAGGCCAGTAGGCCACACTCAGAACTCCTGGGAGCACAAATGTGGTGGCCTGTCTGCCCCCCCATCTCTCCCCCTCCCCCCCTCAGCCTCAGTGATTATTTCCAAGCTGGGCAGGTTGTCTTCCCAAGGATTGGAAACCAGTGCCTGCTCCACGAGCGTGAGCCAGGATGCTCCCCTCTTCAGATTAGTTTTAGAAGTGAAACTGAAGGCGCAGAAAGTGTGAGTCAGCCTAAAGTGTTTATTAGTAAATGGGATTGTCCCCTTACCCGGCTTCACGCCCTGCTCTCTCGAAGCTCTCTGTTCCTCTGTGTCACCCGAGGTCACAGTGGTCTGAGGGCAGGGACTAAGGGCAACAAATGGGCCAGCTTCTAACGTGGGCCTCTCTGATTCCATGGCTGAGACTGGTTGCTTGGCTTCTGGCTCTCCCAGGTGTTTCCTCCTCAGTGCTTGCCCATTTGGGAGTCCGGGAGGTTAACAGCACAGACACCTACCCTGGGTTACGCTAACTGCAGCCTATAAGTTCCTCAGCCCACAGGGCAGCCGACCAAGTCCCTGTTGGGCTGGACCCAACACTGGATCAGGAGGTGGGAAGGGAGGGCATGGAAGGGCAGCCATGACAATACTTGTCTATGGTACCCTAGCCAGGGACCTGGCATGTCTCATGGGGCAAAACCATGGAGACTTTCTTGACCCATTTGTTAGACAGTTTGTTTCTATGACAGAGTAACCAAGCAAAGCAACTTAAAGGAAAAGTCTTTTAGGCTCACTGTTTCAGAGGTTTGCATCTATGACCAACTGGCTTCGTCAGGCTCCATCATGGTAGGCCTGAGTTGAGGCTAAAACATTATGGCAGAAGGGTATGGCAGGGGAAAGCTGCTCACCTCGCAGTGACCAGGAAGCAGACAGACAGACAAATGAAGGCACACTCTAGAGACCCACCTCCCCTAACTAGACCTTATATAATTGCTACCACCTCCAAGTAATGCCCCGAGATGACGAACCCATTGATTAAATCAGAGTCCCAGGGATCCAGTCACTTCTCCGTGCTTAGATCCAACATCTGGGGACCAATACTTTAACATGGAGTTCCTGAGGGACAATTCATACCAAATCGTAGTACCTACTTTAGAGCTGAGGATACTAAGGCCCAGAGAGATGATTATAGCCTCAGTATTTCCCCAGGTTTTCTCTCGGGTCACTGCTCACCACTGAGGTCACTGACGCCTCCCTGAGTGTGCACTGAAAGTCTGCACTGTGTGTATGTGTGTGCGCTCACACTGAAAGTCTGCAGTGTGTATGTGTGTGCATGCTCACTGAAAATCTGCAGTGTGTGTATGTGTGCGCTCACACTGAAAGTCTGCAGTGTGTGTATGTGTGCGCTCACACTGAAAGTCTGCAATGTATATGTGTGTGCGCTCACACTGAAAGTCTGCAGTGTGTATGTGTGTGTGCTCACACTGAAAGTCTGCAGTGTGTGTATGTGTGTGCGCTCACTGAAAGTCTGCAGTGTGTGTGTGTGCATGCTCACTGAAAGTCTGCAGTGTGTGTATGTGTGTGCATGCACACTGAATGTCTGCAGTGTGTGTATGTGTGTGCATGCACACTGAAAGTCTGCAGTGTGTGTATGTGTGCATGCTCACTGAAAGTCTGCAGTGTGTGTATGTGTGCGCTCACACTGAAAGTCTGCAGTGTGTATATGTGTGTGCATGCACACCGAAGTCTGCAGTGTGTGTATGTGTGCACGCTAACTGAAAGTCTGCAGTGTGTGTATGTGTGTGCGCTCACACTGAAAGTCTGCAGTGTGTGTATGTGTGTGCATGCACACTGAAAGTCTGCAGTGTGTGTATGTGTGCATGCTCACTGAAAGTCTGCAGTGTGTATGTGTGTGCTCACACTGAAAGTCTGCAGTGTGTGTATGTGTGCATGCTCACTAAAAGTCTGCAGTGTGTGTATGTGTGCTTGCTCACTGAAAGTCTGCAGTGTGTGTATGTGTGCGCTCACACTGAAAGTCTGCAGTGTGTGTATGTGTGTGCACGCTCACTGAAAGTCTGCAGTGTGTGTATGTGTGCATGCTCACTGAAAGTCTGCAGTGTGTGTATGTGTGCGCTCACACTGAAAGTCTGTAGTGTGTGTATGTGTGCGCTCACACTGAAAGTCTGCAGTGTGTATATGTGTGTGCATGCTCACTGAAAGTCTGCAGTGTGTGTATTGTGTGCATGCACACCGAAGTCTGCAGTGTGTGTATGTGTGCACGCTCACTGAAAGTCTGCAGTGTGTGTATGTGTGTGCACTCACACTGAAAGTCTGCAGTGTGTATATGTGTGTGCATGCTCACTGAAAGTCTGCAGTGTGTGTGTGTGCATGCTCACTGAAAGTCTGCAGTGTGTGTATGTGTGCATGCTCACTAAAAGTCTGCAGTGTGTGTATGTGTGTGCATGCACTGAAAGTCTGCAGTGTGTGTGTGTGCATGCTCACTGAAAGTCTGCAGTGTGTGTGTGTGCATGCTCA